GAGAAGTTCTACTGTCACAAAAATGCTATCAAGCAACATCACAGCTACAGGGAAATCGTTTGTGGAAAGAATCAATCCACATGGCCGACTTCATTGCTGTCTTATGACAAATGGCCACAGCCACTCTGGTGTGCAGCAAGCAGCACCCTGGTCATTCAGCAGCCATTGACACTGAGGCAAGACCTTCCACCAGCCAAAAGATTGTGACTCGCTGAAAGGTCAGATGATGCTTAACACTTTTTAGCAATAAAGTATTTTTTAATTGAAATACGTACATTTTTTAGACCTAATGCACACTTAATAGATTACAGTAGAGTGTAAACATAACTTTTATATGCTCTTGGAAACCAAAAAGTTCATTTGATTTCACCTTGTTGTGGTGTTTATTTTATTGCCATGGTATGGAATATCTCCACCATATCTCTGAGATATACCTGTATCAAAGATACTTTAATATTTTAATTTCATCTTGCAATTTATCGATGTATCTCTTAAATGTTTTTTAAATTCTAGATTTGATTCCTACTCCATTTCCCTCTCTCTTCCTTTACCATGTATTTGTTGAGGAATCATTTATCCTACAGCTTCTTACTGTCTGGATTCTGCTGACTGTATGGTGTCATTTAACATGTTGCTCTGTCTTTTGTTTTCTGCAAACTGGTGGCTGTATCTAATGGTTTGTTCAGATTCAGCTTTGGTTGGTTGGTTGGTTTTGGCAAGACTACTTGATATATGGTGGTAAATTCTCCCATCCCTAAATTCATAATGTGTAATGATCTCTTTTACCTTTAAAAAAAAATATTATTGAGAGAGAGAGAGAGAGACAGAGACAGAGCATGAGTAGGGGAGGGGCAGAGAGGAGGAAGACAGAATCTGAACCAGGCTCTGAGCTGTCAGCACAGAGCCCGATGCGGGGCTCGAACCCACAGACTAAGATCATGACCTGAGCCGAAGTCAAATGCTTAACTGACTGAGCCACCCAGGTGCCCCTAGATATTTCTTTTACAAAAACTTCCCTTTATCTACTATTTGGCTATCTGTGATATAGTTTCTATAGAAACGCAGGATAAATGATGTTTTCTTTTTTTCACCTATTTTCAAAATTGTAGTTGGTTCACCAGCACTCGGCAGCAGTGACCAAACTGGTTTCAGTCCATCACAAGTATTATGCTTGTCAGTGGTCAAACTGTCCCATCTTTGGCTAGTGGGAACTCTTCAAATTGGCCCGAGTTCTGTTGCCATGCCCCTAAGAGTCTCTGATAACTGCCTTGTTATCTGTTACAAAAAAAAACTTTCTGGGCTCATTCTGAACATTTCCTGTGCCAGACCCAGATTGAGTCATGCCTCAGGGGGAGGGAGCCTCAGCCCTGGTCAGTGGGGAGGCAGTTACACCCCAGATCACGGTCTGGATGCTAGCGGAGCTTGCGGCAGTGGTCCTGGTTGTTGACAGGCCTTTCTGCTGTTCAGAGTCAGGAAACAGATTTGTAGTTTGCTTGGTTATTTCTTCTTTAATGAAGATACTTTGTGAATTCATACCCAGCCTTTCAACTCTTATATAGCACTACAGAGTTTTCACTAAATTGCTTTCATCTTATATCTGCATCTCCTTTCTCACCTACTGAGGATCTCACTTTTCAACGATGCCAGCAGTGGTAGGATTGGCCTGTCTCATACATACTTAATTGTTGCATCCAGACACTCACAACGGTCTCAGAATAACAGCAACAGCACTACCGTTAATTAGTGAAAATATTGCTTTAAAACCTTTTAAGGTTTTTTTTTGTTTTGTCTTTGGTCTTGTTTTTTAATTCTGGAAGTCCCTTCCCTGGCTTGCCTGCTTGGAAGCTTACTATTTATTCCTCAGGACCACTTCCGACACCCTCTCCTTGGGGAAGTTTGTGTTACTTACTCCTCTGTGCTGACCTACAGCTCATTGTGTATTTCTCTGTTACAGCAATTTTCCTATTTACTCTAATCGAGACTGAGAATTCCTTGAGAGTGAGGATGTATTTAGCAGTATACCCGCAGCTTCCAGCAGGCATTTGGGGAGAGCTTGATTTTGAACGAGTGACGGTTGATACACCTGTCCCATGCACATGTCTTCGGTTCTTTTGCCAGGTTACTGAGGAACTTTTTATTTGTTCATTCGATGAGAACTACCCTTTGCAAAGGTAATCACCTACTTTTTGCTGGGTGACTGGGTTGAACAATAGTGATAAGTCCTTACCCTCCCAGATTTTACACCCCGATTTTCCGATTTTCTTTTCTTTTCTTTTCTTTCTTTTCTTTTCTTTTCTATTTTTTACTTCTGAGAGAGAGAGAGAGAGAGAGAGAGAGAGAGAGGGAGACAGTGTGAGCAGGGGAGGGTCAGAGAGAGAGGGAGACACAGAATCTGAAGCAGGCTCCAGGCTCTGAGCCAGCTGTCAGCACAGAGCCTGATGTGGGGCTTGAACCCATGAACCGTGGGATCATAACCTGAGCTGAAGTTGGACCCTTAACCGACTGAGCCACCCAGGTGCCCCTACACCCCGATTTTCTATCTCACACGCTCAGATGGACTAGAAGGCTCTGCTAAATTAAAGAGAGAATTCTAACTTTGGGGACTTCTGATTGGAGCACCCCCAATCAGGCTTGGGTGCTGGGCTGCATCCACGAAGGGGACACGGCACATGCCTGTGCCACAGTGGGGCCACCCAGGCTGGGGAGCCAAAAGTGGCCAGGAACCGGCTGTTTGGCAGGGAAGAGGCGAGGGAGCTCTGGCTGTTGGTGGCGTTACGGGCCAAGTGTGCCACAAAGGGCAGTATCATCTGACTTGCCACCCTCTGGCCTGAGCCCTAGCAATTCCCAGCCTGTGTCCCGCAGGCTACCTATAAATGTTGGCAGCAGGGCAAGGGAATTTTGTCTGCAGTTCCTCCTCTATCTAGTCTTGACATTAATTTGGAACAGACAGCTAGAGAGATGAGAGAAAAAGAGTAGGTTTATGAAAATAAAATCTTCAGTGCCTGCCCTGTGGGCTCGTTTGTCCCTACCTTTATTTAGCATTTCAGAAACCCGAGCTGATGTTTACCAGAAGGCCAGTCAGGACTTTAGGTCCTGATGGTCCAGCAAGTCCCAGCAGCATTCACCCTTCTCTAACCACTCTTCCCAGATATATTGTTGACCACTTTTCCGTTTTCTAGAGCCGGGCCATTTAGGCAGATACCTCTGCCTTAGCCCCACCTTCCTAGTGTGGTCAGATGCCGACATCTAGGTGTGATACTGCCCCTGATGGTTTCTAGGAAGGCCTGGCACATTCTCTTAGGTTCAAGGCCATTTATTAGAAAACCCTCTCAGCCGCATTTCTTAATCTCCTTACCCCTTCCCCCAATTTAACTATATCTCTAGCCCCTCTTTCCAAATTCCCATCTGTTGCAAATCCCCAACCAGGTATACCAACAGAGGACTCAAATTCATTATGTTCAAAGCTAAACTCCCCCCAGCCCCCAACCAGATCCTCCTTGTATTATCCCGACTCAGTGACTGGCACTACCATCCACACTGCCCCTGACTTCACACTAGGTTGGATTCTTTATCACACTCTCTCACAGTTACCTTGTAACTGTAATTACATAAGCAATGTTTTATGTATTTGTTTCCTCTGTAGTTTCTCTGCTAGACTGTAAGTTTCTTGAGAGTTAGGACCACGTCTTCCTTATTCATCACTCTCCCCAGTGCCCGACACATCTGACACATGAGTCCTCAATCAGTATTTATTGGGTTAATGAAGAAATCCAACCCAGTCACCCAGGCTAGAAACCTCATCATCAGTGTGGATTCCTCCCTCTTATCATCTACATCTTATCTATCAGCACAACTTGTCCTTTCGGCCCCTGAAATGTTTCTCAGGCCTGTCCTGTCAGTACTGTGCTGTGTTCAGGATCCCATCGTCTCACGTTTGGACTGTGGTAGTAACTTGATGGGTTTTTCTATCCCTTTTCTTTTTTTTCTTCCAGTCTGTCCTATGTGTAGCCAAAGCAGTTTTCAAAATATGATAAAGCTGTGTCACTCCTCTATTTAAAAACTCTTGTTGTCTACAAGACAATGTCTAAACTCCCCGGATAGCAGGACCTGTCCCTCATCTAGTGTCCTGCCTCACACCCTGCCATCGTCCCCTGCATAACCACATGTTTCAACAACCACAAGTAGTTCCCTAGCTCCCAAATCTTATGTGCCTCCATATTTACTTTCTTCCTTTAGCACCTAACAGCTGTCACAAAGACGAGAGAAAGAAGGATGGGTGAAGGTAGCTTTGGGATCTGCCAGAGAAAAATCACTGGGTTTCCGAAGAAATAGAGGAAAACTTTTAAAAATGTCATGGTAAATCAGGGCTCAAGGCTGTCTGGTATTGAAGCTTACCTCTAAACATAAATACCCTGTCCTGCAGTTTAGCTCCTTCCTGTCTGGGGGACTCTTCATTTAAAAGCTACTCTTTGTGTTTTTCAGTTCTCTTTTATTTGCTTTGGAGCGTGTCTCTTTTGGACGTGGCCTCTCCTGCAGGAAAGCAGCAGGAAAACTGATGGAATGGCACCACCCTCCGGCATCTGTAAGGTGTCACACTGAAGCCCAGCCACCTAATTTAACACACAGTAATTAAATGTTGTTCAGTACCTGTGTCTTTCAGCTCTTTCTCAACTGTCGATTATCCTCGGGGACCATATGCTGATTTGGAATGAAATCCAAGGGAACGTGGGATGTGTGCCTGCATTTGCCTCACTGTCATGTGACATGCCCCACGTGAGGTCTACCCTTAGTACGTGCAATGGATCCATCCCGAACTTCTGATGTCTTTGTTCTGAATGGTGTACAGATGTTCCTCTAAGGCAATCCTCTCCTCTCCAAATGCTTGTCATCCTAAAGTGGCCAAACTATAAGAACTTTGGTTTGGATTCACTGGGAGCCTGAACGTTTGTCTTTGGTGACCTGACACTGGGCAACCAAACCTAATCGTTGCAAATAAATACCTCATAGAAGGTCTGTCTGCATTTCATGACTTTGATCTCAAGTTCTTCTGGATGTTTTATCTTTAGCATGCTGGAGGCTGCTGGGAATCTTGATTTATTAAATGTGCTAGCTGTTGGGGTGTGGGAGTTAAAATGGAGATTGGAATTCTTCCTCCTAGAAGGATGGAACAGAAGGGTTAAAGAACATGCTCACTTACACCCTATTCTGACACAGATTTTAGAAAGGGCACTTTGAGTGAGTGCCTCTTTGAGGTGGCATGACCTGGCTAGGGTGCCTTAAGGGGAGAAACCAGTGACAACTCACAGATACTTTTTAAATACTTTGTACTCAAAATGCATACCACCTGGGAGGCTGAGCTGCTGCCAGGGTGGGATTGCTGATTCCCTACTGTTTTCGTTACCTCCTTCAGGGCAGGAATTTCCAATGTATTTCTGAGACAGCTACAGAGACACACTCGGACTTACAGGCTGATCACACCGAAAAAGGAAGATGCATACAAATTCCGGCTACAGTGAGCTTAAGGTCCCCTTGGCAAATCTCCCATCAAATGCGGAGTATTCCCCCCACTGATTTACTTAACACATATAGGTTGCACACCTACTACGTGCTGATCACCGTTCTAGGTAAAGGGACTAGAGCAGTGAACAAAACAGACAAGGTCCCCCATCCCCTGGATCCCACAGTCACATGATCACTGCTAGGCGGTCACCAGCCTTGGCCTCTCTGAGGCCGCCATCTCCTCCTCGAACAATTCTTGTGTGTACCTCTGAAGCTTTCACTGCTTGGTCCCAGCTCTACCCCTGGGCCTTTCAGATCAGGTGTGAGCTTTCCTCCCTTTGTGGACTTCAGATGTTTGAAAACAGCTGTTCTGCACCCCCTGAGTCTTCACCAGCTGAGTGTTTCTTTTATCTTCAAGGACTCTTCAAAGAACTTGGTGTCTGTACCTTCTGGTCACCCTCTGAGCTGGTACCCTGGTGCTCTTTCTTTAAAACTTAACTCCTACTGCCCAAGGCAGTGATTCTTAAACATGTAGGTCCCGTGAATTCCCTGTATGGGCCATCTGTAACCTCCTCTTCCTGTCCCCTAGCAAGAGTGGCAGGACTTTTCTCCGACTGAAGAAGAGACACGTATTGCGAAATGATAAATCTATATATTGGTCTCTGTCACAGTTTCTGACAGAGCTGCTAAGACCCTTGCATTTTCCTGGGTGAGAAAGAGTGTGTGACAGAGCTCCCAAATCTCTTGGAATTTCCTAGGTAGTGGAACTTTTTTTTTTTTTTTTTCCTAATGAGGTGACTCTTGGGAGGCTCTGGAGGGGCTGGTCACCAGGAAGACCAAGCCATTATTAGAAGCTTGGAACTTTCAGCCCCACTCCCCATTCTCTGGAGAGAGGTGAGGGGCTGGAAATGGAGGTAATAATCAATCATGCCTATGTGATGAGGCCTCCATAAAAATCCCAAAAGGATGGGGTTTGGAGAGCTTCCAGGTTGGTGAATACATCCACATGCTGGGAGGGTGGTACACCCCCAACTCTAAGATTGACAGAAGCTCCTGCCCCTGGGACCCTTCTAGAATTCGCCCTATGTATCTCCCCATCGGGCTGTTTATTTGTATCCTTTAAAACTTCCTTTGTAGTGAATCAGCAATAGTGAGTACACTGTTTTCCTGCATTCTGGGAGCAAATGATCAAACTCAGGGAGGGGATCATGGGAACCCACAATTTATAGCCAGGTCATACAGAAATCATGGGTAACCTGGAAACCCACTAATGTCTGAAGTCAGCGGGGTGGTCTTGTGGGACTGCGCCCCTGACCTTTGGGTTCTGTACCACCTCCAGGCAGTTAATGGCAGAATTTCTTGGTGTGGAAAACCCACATATCTGGTCACAGAAGTGTTAAAAGTTTTAAAGTGAAGGAGAGCAGTGAGTTTTTTTCTAGGCATGTATAAATATCCACATTTGAGGGAGTACTTAGTTACTACTGAGTACTTTCAAGTGTGGTATGACTGGTAAAGTTTCCCCCACCCCAAAAAATGTTTAGAGATTCTTTACTGCAGTGGTCAGGATTTAATTTTTAAGTAAGAATTTTAGACACAACCACTCTATCATAAATTACCACCATCATCTTATAAAAGAGAGGATATTATAATATCAACTAATCTGGAGGGGCATATTCTCAGTACTAATGAAGCTGACTACTTTGTTTACTTTTTTCTCACCTACCAAGGACCAGTGAAAATTTCATGAACCGACTAGCACTGCCATTTGGGAGCCCTTGCTCCTGGGACCCCTGTGAAGCACTTATAAATTGTATTCAACCATGAAAGAATTCTAAAAAGCAGTAGCTTAAACACATTAGCAGTTTTACTTTTCTCATGCAAGTAGAAGCTTAGAGATAGCCCCATCCAGGTTAATATAGCTGCTCCATGGTGCCCTTCGGGATTCTGAATTCTTTTCATTTTCCTTCGGTTCAGCAGTCCTTAGCGTGAATTTGCCATCACCTGATCCCAAGATGTCAGCTGTCTTCCAGCAAAGTGTAGGCGGTAAGGAGTCCAGCTCCAAGCCAGAACCCTATATCTTTCTGACATGACCATAGGCAGTTAGGGGCTATATACCTAAAGGGCTTTACCTGACAGGCCTCTGGGAAAGCTGCCCACTGCACATAAGACTAGGTGCACAGCCTTAGCACTGTGCTCTCGGAGGGGAGTTGCAGTCAGGGGCTCTGGGCTCACTCTACCATTACCCCAGCCTTGTTCTTATGCAGATCTCCATTTATAGCGCAGCTTCCTTCCTTTGGAGGATGGAGCTAAGGGATGAGGGCCCTAGCTGTGGACTCTCTCAGGTGCCTCTGCTAGACCAACATACTAGGGGTGGGGTGGGGGCTTGAAGATGTTTTCTCCACTCTGACCCAGTCTTCAGTACTTTTCTACCCATAGCCCCTCCCCTCTCCCTTCTCCTACCCTTCAGGGCTGTAAAATGGCAGGTGACTTTTGTTTAGGCATCCTTTGGCAGTAAGACTGCCCCACATCTGTACCAATCCACTTGACCCTTGCCTGCCACTGTTCCATGGAGGAAAATGGAACATTAGGGGAGCCAGTGCTTTCTTCTATTTAGTATCTTGCTTATACCATCACAGTAAGTGATTAAAGGCTTTATTGTAACTATTCATGTTCACTCAGACACCTGGCAGCTCAGCTGTCTCCAGCTTAGCTTATCTTTTGACAGGAAGAATGACCTGTCATTTTGACCACTTGAACCCACTTTTTAATGAGCTCTCTCCAAAACTTCATCTAATGTCTTATGTTTATATCTCATTGGTCAGAACTGTATCACATGGTCATCCCTAGCTGCAAGGGAGCCTGGGAAATGCTCTTTAGCTGGGCACACTGCCACCATGAATGAAACCAGAATGAGCTTTAGATAACTACTACATCTTGGAACCCCTACTTTTGAAAAGTTATTGGATGGTGGTTTTGCATTGTCAGTTTGATTTCACTGGCTGGCATCATATGAAGATTCAAGGGAAAAGAATTCTGAGACAATGGCAGTGGCATATTTGAATCTCCCCAAATTCCTCCATTCAAAATAGAACATCTGGGATAGCAAAACCAAAACCTATGGACAACATCTACAACAAAACTGGATGACAAGATATTACCACAAACCCCGAAATTCAAGCAGGTAGAAGTCACTAGCAACTCAAAGACTTGTATTCGCACTTTTGTGGAAAGAAGCAAAGGGAAGCAGCTCAGTTTCTGAGAAATCTAAAAATGAGAGAACCTCAAAATAGCCAAGAGGTGCTTCCTAGAGAGTCCAGTGGGCCAGTGAGAGAACAGTGGCTCAATTTTGGGGGCAGTTTTGTACAACTCAGTTTGTAGCTGATGAGCACATGGGGTCTGAAGTAAGGTCTGAAGAAGTTGGAGCAGCCCAGGTCCTGTGAACTCTCAAAAGTATCAGCGAAAGTACCAGCCAAAGTATCTTCCCATGACATCAGAGCAGGAACTGCAGGGAACAGAATACAGATAGAGTCCACCAGGGATATTTGGGGCACAGGGAAGGGAAGTCAGGTGAGAGTGGGGGAACGGCACACAGCCAGGAGATCTCAGGAAGTACGAAGCCATATTTTCGAACACTTTGTGAAAACAGAAAAAGAAGCTGTAGTCGTGAATTTAGCAAAGCTATCCTAAGTCACTCATCCTTCATAAATGTGCAGGAGAACTAGTTTCATATAAAAATGAGCAACAGAAAGGACTGCAGTCATATCTTATCATGAAGTTCTTATTAGAAAAATGGAAATACAGAACAGAATGATATCCCTAATGATATGAAAACATTCCAGAAAGACATGCCCATAAAAAAACACATAAAAAGTCTAATTTAATATTTCAAAATAAGCTAAAGTAAGTTAAGAAAATAGTGCAGGTTCCTGCTCTACAGCCACAGGGTAGTTCTAACAGCAGCACTGGCGTTCCCTTCGTGAGCGCGCGCTCATGGGTTCTAATACGAGTAGCACCTTCATGATCTTTGGACAAGAGCTCCCTTCTCCCTTTTGCTACTACACCCCTATTCTTTCTTCCCTGTGCTCTTCAGCCCTTCCAATACTTTTGTTATCAATTCTCCACATTCAGTCCCTCTTTGATTTAGATAGCAAAGTTTGTTGTCCTGAACAGACACTTTCTGATGTAGTTACTTCCATTCATTCTTCTGTTCATTTAACAAACATTTATTGACTACTGTCTAATGTTATGACATTTCAAAACAGTGATAAAGAAGATAGACAGAGCCCCTGACCATGTGAGGCTTATATGCTAGTGAGGAACTCAGACAATAAATAAGTAGTTACACGTGATGATTTCACATTGTGGTAAGTGCTCTAAAAATAAACTTGGTGTAAACAATAAATAATTGTCTCTTGTGTAAATGAAGTCAGGAGGTAAGGGCAGGTAGCCTAAGGATTGGTTTAGTTGCTCCAAATACTCAAGTCTCCTTTCATCCATATTCCATGCAGCTGGATGGAGCAAGGGATTAAGAAGGGGCAAAGACCTTGGGTAGGTAGCTAAGGGGAGTTTCTGGGAAGCTACCACGCAATTGTTCGATTCCATTTTATTGACCTGATGAGGTGAACTCATCAGTCACCTGGCTCCACCTAGTGGCAAGGGAGACTAGGAAATGTAGCCACATGCCTAGTTAAAAATTGGGGACTCTACTTAGAAGGAGAGGATAGACAGACTGGGGTAGACAATTAGTAGTCTAAACGAGATACTAAAGGAACTAAACAAGGTAATCTGATCGCAAGTAACCTGGAGTGTGTTTAATTTTTTAAAAGTATTTGTTTATTTTTGAGGGTGAGAGAGACAGAGTGCAAGCGGAGGGGTCAAAGAGAGGGAGACAGGATCCTAAGCAGGCTCCAGACAGCCCAATGTGGGGCTCGAACTCATGAACTGTACCATGAGATCATGACCTGAGCTGAAGTAGAGCACTTAGGCGTCTCTCCTAGGGTGTGTTTAAGGACCCTTATTTAGAATGATTCTTTATAATCTTTCTCTACCACCAGATAGAAGGTTGGCAGATACTTGATCTACCTTTGTATTCCCAGTTTGTTCTTCAGTGCTTCAGACATGATTGATATTAACAAGTTTTTTGAAGTGAGTATAATCTTAAAGCAAGTCAGGAAACCATTATTAGCAAACATTACAAAGCGCTATGTGTGATCTCAATTTCTCTCACTAGACTAGTAGTTTTTCCAGAGTCAGTAAATAACTGAATCTCTGTTACTAGAGTACTGAATATTGACTATGGTATGTAATTGGGTACTAAAAGGTGTTAGCAGTATGTCTCCAAGGATCTCACTGAGGGCTGTTGCAGTCAGAGAAGATTTCATGAAGTGGGACTCGGGTTGGTAAAACCCTTTTTCCTTACTGGCAGGAAATTAATGATAATATTTGCATAGCATTTTATCATATCTTTGCAACATCACTGGATGCTACTTTTATTTTTATCTTTATAGATGAAGAAATGGAGGTTGAGGGTCAAAACATTCCACTTAGCCAGTGGCAGAGCTGGAAGTAGGAACTTGATCTTAGAAAACCAAAATTCACCTTAATGGAAAGACATTTTTTTCCCATCAGTAAAATTAGTGAGTACCTCTTTGGTGAAGTCCACACCATCCTTTGGTTTCACTTTCAGGCAGTCGATAAAGAAAACTGGGAGATATAAGGGCTGAAAATTTTGCCAGATCTAACTGTAAAATTCCGAGCAAATGACACTGTTACTATTATCGGCTATACAAAAGACTACGATTCCCAGCATGCAACAAGGTACCTCTGGGAAGACTTCCACTCACGGCATGCCGCACTTTGGAACTGAGTCCCAGAATGCAACGCTCCCCTTGCTCCTAGAGCGCAGTCGAGACTACAGTTCCCAGAATGCAGCGCCGCCCCCAGTCTCTGGCGCCCCGGGGGACCCTGCTTCGGGAAGACCTTTTGGACGCCAGGGGGCGAGTCTTGAAGTCCCAGCTCCCTTTGGGGGACGTATCCGTGAGGCAGTTCTGGCGCGTTGGGCCTGTCCAGAAAAAGCCTCGAAGGGACTGGTTGGGGCCCGAGGCGGGCTTCGCTCAGGCAGCGTTTGAGGCAGCCCCAACAGGGTCCTCCTGGGGCCTTTCTCTCTTTGAACTGTGGTGGCGGGCGGGCGCACGGTCTCCCGCACCCCTCGGAGTCAGGGCCGCCATCACCATGGCCACGGCTGCGGGCCGGCCCTGCGCCGGCGGGTCGCGGGACATCTTGTGGCGCGTAAGTGCTCGCGCTCTGCCTGCTGCTGCTGTGGGGCCTGGCGGGCGGGTGCTAACCGCGCGTGCGCGGTGAGCGAGTGGGGGGGGGCGGTGTCTCCTGTGTCGCGTGGGGAGTGCGTGGGGAGGGGGCGACCAGAGGGACTTATTACAGGAATGTGCGGGACATCCCGAGTGGAATCTGGTTATAGGGTGGGCGGAGCGGGCTGAGGAAAGCTGATTAGTGGTGTGTGCGAGCGGGACGTCCTGAGTGACTTGTTACGGGGTGGGAGAGGAGTCGGTCGGAATGAGAGGGATGACCTGCCTGGGAGTTGGGGCAGGGAACGGGCAAGAGTTTTATGCAGGGATGGTCTGCCTCGTAGGTCTCTTACTGGTTACTTGGAGTAACAAGTGGGAAGGAATGTCCAGAATTGGAAAGAATGTGGTGTGGCCTTAAGCAGAGGCTGTTTTCCAAGCTAAAAACGAATGAGTCCTTAAGTTTTTTTTTTTTTTTTTATCGCTTATGTTATCAATGACTGATGTCCAGTAGACAGAAAATACGGCTGCACTTCTTTTCCTTTCCCGTTGCCACTGCCTTCCTTCAGAGACAGACTGTAAGGCTTTGGGCAGTTGTGTAAACCGCCTCCTCGTTGTGGCTTTTGTGGGTCTTGTTCCTTCTGATCCATCTTCATTATAGCCACCTTACAAACACGGGAGTGTATTTACCTTCCAAAATGTAAATCCGATTGTCATTTTCTTTCTTCAGACCCCTCAGTATCTCTTCTTGTATTGACTTATTCAGCATTCTGTCTAGTGTCTCTTAAGTGGCAGGTCGTGGTGATCACATATGAATACAGTGCGTAACTGCCTGATGATCGTCCGTAGCTCATAATGGAAACACAATGACAGTGTGCCGTCCTGTAAAATGTACACATCTTTTAGATGCTGACTTATCTATCAGTTAAACCTAGAGAGACAGGGACAAGTTGCTGTAAAATACAGTTGTAAAGCTAGATAAGACAATTCCTCCCCTCTCCCAAAGTGTGATCTTTAATGTGGCATTTGACTCTGGACTAACACAGGTGTCAGTTAATCTGATATTACAGTATTCTGTAGTTGTATGCAGTATTGTTAATAGGAGTAACCGTTATGATCTGGGTGTAAATGTTAGTGGTTAACATCCCGTCTGAAAAGGTAGGATTTGCATAACTGAAGTAACTAAAATAGTTTGACTTCATTATTGAGGGATTTTGTTTAATTATAGGTTTTGGGCTGGAGGATAGTTGCAAGTATTGTCTGGTCAGTGCTGCTTCTACCCATCTGTACCACAGTATTTATCATCTTCAGCAGCATTGATTTATTTCATCCTATTCAGTGGCTGTCTGGTAAGTGGTACTCAGTTTGGGGAATTTCATCCTATTCAGTGGCTGTCTGGTAAGTGGTACTCAGTTTGGGGAAGTCAAATTTACAGGACCTACTTCTCAGCATAAAAACTGTGTTACGTTTTAAATCATTTGTTTTTAATCACTGTTTATATTGATATGGCAAAATATTCACCTTGAGGTAATCTTAAGGCACTCCCTTTATGAATCGCCTTTTCACTATATAATAATAATAGTAAACCTGTCTGAGACTGTATTATCACATGAGCAAAAAATAATTAGGAGATCACATAAATGAAAACCTACCTTAATTTTTGTTTGTCTTTTTTATTGCTTTTCTTTTTTTTTTTAATGTTTTATTTATTTCTAGGAGAGAGAGAGAGACAGCGTGAGCAGGGGAGGGTCAGAGAGAGAGGGAATCTTTTTTTTATTGCTTTTCTTTTGACATTGTCTTTTTAAGGACCAGAACTGTTCCTTTTATCTACTTAAAAATTTGGAATCGAAAATATGACATCTAGCTCTTTAAAGAAACCTGCCTAACATTGGGCCTACTTTATTTCTGTATTGTGATTAATAAGAAAAAGGTGAGAAGAGAGAAAAGGAGGGAAAAGTTTAAGCAACATAGAGTTAAATGCAATGATGAGGAGGAAAAGATTAGAGCAGACTACATGTTTCTTAGTGTCTGTCGAGACAAAAGTACTGAATTTATTACAGTATGATTATGTTAGTAATAGCTACCAATTATTGCTGTGTACCGTGTGCCACACACACTGCACTGAGCCCCTTCAATATATTAGCTGTTATCCTAATATCCTACAAGCCTGTATAATAAAGAGGTATCATCCCTGCTTTATAAATGAGAAACTGAGACTCACGTTGTATATAAGTCTGTGCAGAGACACAGTTAGTGAGTAACTTAACCAGGATTTGAAGGTTGGGCTCTGACTTCAAAGCCTGTGTTTTTCCGCTGTGCTACACTAGAATTAAAAAGACAGAGATGTTGCCAGGATAGGTTTTGAACTCTTTAAAGTCTTGCCTAAGGCTAAGAAGCACAAGTAGTCTTGAAATTCTTTTTATTTCCCTCTCTACAACAATAACAACAAATTTCTTTTGCTTTGGGAAGTGGAAAGTGTGTTGTTAATTTAATTTTCAGAAGAAAATACCAATGTTCAAGGAGTTAGAAGCTTTACCTTGTGGCCTTTGGAGACATTGCTACTAAAGAATTCTAGTCATGTGAAGTTTTTTGTTGAGATGCCTCAGTCATTTCTTGCATGGGTCCTACAAGGCGGATAAAATTAAGCTGTCAGCCTGCACAGGGACGGCAAGTGTTTCTGTAACCACCTTGCCTGAATCTGCATCGCTCACTGATCTTGGCTGTCCAGTCCCACCCTCCTGAGTCTTCAGTACTGAGTTCGAGAACCATTACCGGTTGTTCAGAACTGGCACTTAAGAAAAGTTTTTGCATTTGTTATTGTTAATACTTATAACGCCTTCTCTCCAAATGGGATTTGATTTGTGCCATTTTTATCATCTAATTTACTCATCTCCTTCAACTTTTGCTCACAAAGTCTTTTCAGAGAAACTATGCCCTTCCCTTACTTGTTTCTAGTCCCATGAATCAGTTCTTTTATTCTTTTAGTTCAGTATAATGTTTGGCTTTAATTGTGAATTAAATTAAATATTAAATATTTAATAAATATTCTTTATTAATCTTGGTCAATAAATTATACTCCTAAAAATTACAGGTTTTATTATTAAGTCTCAGTCTATATAGCAAATATATCTCCTTGTTATTTCTCTTATTTATGTTTTTTGGTGTTTTATATATATAACATATACATAATGTATACATTTTAAACTTGGTCATATTTTTGAAATGGAATATTTGCTTGTTTGGACTACTCTAAAATGTGAATGTTAGTATTTTACAAGAATATCATGATTTTTTTTTTTTAATTCAGCTCACTTAGATGATTTATGGATTATGCTGTTTCCAGAAATGTTACCTTTTTAGCTGTAGGAGCTAATTGCATTTATTAAGAAGAGATCTGAAAAACGTTATTTACATTTTAAAAAGAAACCTTGTTGGTATATTACTAAATGTGGTACTTCTCTGTTTCGCACGATGAAGTACATTTGCATATGGTAGTATTTTGTCTGATGTTAACATCTGGGTCATCTAAAGGAAATTCTAGTATAATTTTAAAGGACCAAGAGCTTGGTGTAAGTAACCCACACTGTAGTTCTTGAGTTGATGTCCTATAGGACCTGTCAGCAGTGTATGAATACATTCTTGAAGAAAAGGTAACTTTTACAATGAAATTTACAGTTGTGGTTCAAACCCCTTTTCTATCGCAATGTATGGATCATGACTACATGACTGAATGAATTTACTAATTCATCTCTCTTGTGTTTTAGATTCTTTCAATGATCTATATAGTTCCTATGTAATTTTTTACCTCCTGCTCCTGTCAGTGGTAGTAGTGATAATAAGTATTTTTAACGTGGAGTTCTATTCAGGTGAGTGTTCAAATGTTAACCGTCTTAAAAATATACGAATTTATATTATTAAAGGTATACTCAATGCATTTTGTATGTGAGTATATATAACAGAGGCTTGTTTAAAGTCAGTTTAAGATATGTATATAGAATCATCTACTTTGAATATTTTAACTAAAAATTTATTTGAATGCCAGTTTCTCTGTGTTTAAAAATATTTAGAGGTTTGGGACACCAGGGTGGCTCAGTCAGTTAAGCATCTGACTCCTGATCTCAGCTCAGGTGTTGATATCAGGGTCATGAGTACAAGCCCCATGTTGGGCATGAAATCTATTTAATATTTAAAATATTTAGAGCTCTTAGGACAAATATTGTATGATTTCACTTATATAGGAGGTTCCTAGAATCAAATTCATAAAGACAGAAAGAATAGGGGTTGCCAGGGGCTGGGGGAGGGGAGAATGGGAAGCCCTTGTTTGATGGACACAGAGTTTCATTCAGGCAAGATGGGAAGGTCCTGAGGGGGGGGCGTGGTGGTGATGCTTACACAACAGTGAGCAAACTCAGGCTGCAGAGCTATGTGCTTAAAAATGGTTAAAATAGGGGAAAATGGTTAAAATGGCCAACTTCTGTATGTTTTACCACAATAAAAAAATTTAGACCTTTTAATAGTTCACAGCTGCTGTTAAAGTTGTGACTCAGCAGATGTATTATAAAAATAACTCCTTTATAGGGTAGGAGATCAGGACCAGATGATTTCTAAGGTCCTTTTCAAATATAAAAGTCTATAATTCTATAGTTAAAAAAACAACAACAAAAAACCTGTGTGTTTTGCCTTGGGAAAATCACCTGCTGGGTTCCAGAGCTTTTTATTTTTCGTGGTTTCTCTTTTTACCCTTAATGCCCTTTCTCATTCCTGCATCTGTCCTTATGGTACAGTAAGAGGCTTTTTCAGACACTTCTTTTTCATTGTTTTTGTTTTTGACTAGAACATCGTCCCTCTTTTTAGCTCTTCAGTAGTTGCTTCTTAGAGATGGTATAAAATTTCAAGTTCTCCTCTGGTTGTTATAATATATGCCCTTTTCCCTTGCTTTCCTAATCCCTCACTCCTAGCTGATGGATCTCTTTTTCTGTTCAAGCCATACACCGATCTGCCTCGCTTACAGCACTGTGCTCTTACATGGCCGCACGTACCCAGGTTATCTTGATGTAGATGCCGCACTAGGGCTGTCCTGCTTGTCATTCTTAAAGCCTGATTAGTCACTTTGGATCAATCCTTCAGAAGCATTTTGTGTGCCGTACATTGTGTGGGGATAAGAGTTAAGTGTTACAGTCCCAACTGTCCCAGAAGATCACAGGTAATCAAACGTGTTGAATTACAATACACTGGATAGAATGGGAATATATGGAAGCACGATTCACCCAGCATGGGAAGCTCCCTGAAGGAGATGATGCTTAAACCAAGCCTTGAAGGGTGAGTTGTATTAATTAGAGAAGGAAAATGATGATCCAGGGAAAAGATATAGTATATAGAAAGGCTTAGGGACGCCTGGGTGGCTTGTTTGAGCTCTTGACTCTTGGTTTCGGCTCAGGTCATGATCCCAGGGTCGTGGGATTGAGCTCTGTGTCAGGCTCCGTGCTTCGTGTGGAGCCTGCTTGAGATTCTCTCCTGCCTCACCCCTTCTCCCCCCGTCTCCCTCTCTCTCTGTCGCTCTGTTGCTCTCTCGCTCTCTCTCTAAGCCCCTCTCCCTCCTCATATGCTCTCCTCAAAAACAAACATAGAGACATGAGAAGCTTTGGTATGTTCAGAGTATTGTAAGTCAGTTGCATGCTCACTGGGTCTCATGGGCATTTCTGGGGGCCAGGGAAAGGGGATAGCAACCTTTTTCTCAAAATGTAAAGCACCTAAGCCCTCTCCCTTCATAGGAATTTTCCATCTTTCTTCTATCTCTTGGAGTCTTTTAAAAGAAGAATGTGTAGGAGCACCTGGGTGGCCCAGTTGGTTGAGCATCTGACTTTAGCTCAGGTCATGATCTTAAGTTTGTGACTTTGAGCCCTGCTTTCAGGCTCTCTGCTGTCAGCATGGAGCCTGCTTCAGATCCTCTGTCCCTCCCTCTCTCTTCTCTGCCCCTCCCCAGCTCATGCTTATCAAAAATAATAAATAGTAAAAAAAAAAAAAAAAAGAATGTGTGTATGAGTAGGTCAGGAAACCCTCCGCTATCTGTTTTCAAAGGTCAGTATCCCTCCTACGCACACTCACCTGCCCTAGCACACTTCCTGAAAACTTTTTTTGTTTATCAGAGAGGTATTAAAAATAACTGTACAAGCATTTATTTTAGTATTCAGTGTTGTCATCATTTACCTCATTTGTGGTTTATTTTTCGCAATTGGACTCTATTTTGACAAGTTCAAATGCTGAAACGAAGGTTACTTGTTGGAGGGCAAGCACTATCTTTCAAAAACTATCATTATTTGTTCTTTTATGGCACCTATGAGATTGGCAGGGTAGACAGTATTTGAGCTGTCAGGAAATTTTAATTAAAAAGAACTGAAAAATATTAATCATGCTGTTCTTAGGTTTCACCTCTCTAGAATCTTTGGATTTTCTTTTTTGTATGCATCTCTTTGTATTCAATCTTTTCAACATATTTTTAACTTACAATTCTTAGCGTAGAATTTTTCTGTACTTCACATTGATTCTGGGTTTTCTTGTGCCCTTTGGAATATTTGTGCAAGGATGAGAGGGAGTAACAGTTCGTGTCCCCTGACCTCGTGTGCTACAGGTTATAAAGCCGCAGTAATGTGCTTTGTTTGCAGTTGTGCCTTCCATTCCCTGCTCCAGACTGGCACTGATCGGGAAGATCATTCACCCTCAACAGCTCATGCACTCATTTGTTCATGCTGCAATGGGGATGATGGTGGCCTGGTGTGCTGCGGTGATGTCTAAGGGCCGCTATGGTTTTCTTGTGGTTCCCTGCACCGCCACTGAAAGGTAATATTAAATATGTTTTCTCTATGGAACTTGGATAGTTACTAATCCAAAGGTGACCTGTATAAGTTAATAGTTTATGGGCATTGTGTGTTTTCTAGACTTACACAGAAGATGCTTTTATGCATAACATCAGATATTTTTGATATTTATGCTTGTTGAATTTCAGTAGTTTTTTTAAAACCATTTTCTGTGCAAGGTGCTATGCTAGGTGCTGTTGGATTTGTGAGAGTGATTCACGCATAACGCTATAAAGTCTTGGAGAGTTCAGAACAGTAAGGGAATTAAGACATGGACACAATTGGATGTGATAGGTAAGAAGTAGGAATTTATGTGAAATGGGAGGGAATAAGAAAGTAAGGTGTACACGTTAAACCTGTGGCGGTTCAGAAAGCAGGGAAGATCATTGAATTAATAACCTAACTTTTTCTCTCCAGTTTAAATAGCCCTGCTGCACAAACCTGCTTAAATGAGTATCACCTGTTTTTTCTCCTGGCTGGATCATTTATGGGCTATAGCTACAGTCTCCTGTATTTTATTAACAACATGAACTATCTTCCATTTCCCATAATACAGGTAAGATACTGTTTGAGTATTATGTCAGAATTTAGCAGAGTTAAAACTGCCTTGATGTATGTGTGTATAACTGGCCTCCTCTGATTAATTCAAGATTTGAGCAGCAAAACTTAGGACTGAGATCGTCAAAATGCCATTTAGAGAAGAGATTTACTTTCATGAGGATTTAGCATATGTCTGAGAGCTAGAGTGGCCCTTTACATTGGCACTCTGAGGATCCACTTTGCCCCCCTCTTTCCATCCCTGCTAGGTAGTGGCAGTGCTGTGACTCACAGGAGTGGGGACGGAGGTGGGGAGGACACTCATGCAGTGTGCTTCTGTGCAGCTGCCAGCTTCTTTTTGCACCTAAGAACTCCTGGGCTTGAAGGTGTCCACATAACGTAGAATCTCAGTTACTGTCTCATGTCTTTTCCAGAATAAGACATGTTGCATATAAATAAATAAAACAGTTTTGATTAGCGTGACTGGATGGTTTAAACTGTCTTTCAGTTAGGTTTTTAAAAATCTCATCTGCTAGGAGCCTTTTGTGGAACTCACAACCACCTCCTTGGCAGGAGAGAGAAAGATGGGTTGAGCTTTCTCCTGGGGCATCAAGGCTGTCTCCAGGCTATTCCCGCTCTTCTTGACTGTGCTCTTATTCGCCTCGTTCCTATGCTGTGGCAGCCCGAGGATTGGGCTTTGGAGCAAAACTATTAGGACCAGTCCTTTCCCACTAGGACCCAGTCTGGTGGGGAAGGAGGGATGTGTAAACAAATGATGTGTCGTGAGAGTCCAAGAGTGTAGATGAGGGTTCTCCTGATTTAACTGAAGGCCCCATATGCCTGTGGCTTCCATGAGAACACTTTGTTGAAAATAGACCTATTGCAAGGTGATAGTGCTCACAGAAAAGGAGCTGGTGGGGGCACCTGGGGGGCTCAGTCAGTTAAGAATCTGACTCTTGGTTTCAGTTCAGGTCGTGGTCCCACGGTTCCTGGGTTTGAGCCCCACATTGGGCTCTGCACTTACAGTGTGGAGCCTGCTTGGGATTCTCTCTCTCTCCCTCTCTGTCTGCCACTCCCCTGCTCATGTTCTGTCTCTCTCAAAAATACATAAACATGAAAAAGAAAAGAAAAGCAGCTGGCCCTTATTTCCCTGCAGTCTGTGAGTGTGTTAAGGAAAAAGTCCTGATTAGATATTCTTCACATCTTGAGAAGATGAATTAAAAGCAGAGTGTCTGCTTTGCCACCTTAAAATTTTAGGAGAAGAAAACCCAAAATTCTGTACAGCATATCCATGCTAAATCGTATTTGATCCAAATATAATTAAGAATATAGAGAATATAAGTGTTAGAGAAAAACAAGATACCCCGAAATCACTTGCTCCTCCATGAACCTCAGTTGATGCAATAGAGTAAATGTAGGAACAGTCCAATAACTGACGGTGCCAGTAGAGGCTTCCTGCTGCCGTATAATGTCATATTTGTAAAATTTGACTACTAAAGTTTTTGTAATTTCCTTTGATAAAATTCTATTTTATTTTATTAAAATTTTTTTTTAATATTTGAGAGAGAGAGAGAGAGAGAGAGACAGCATGAGTGGGAAAGAGGCAGAGAGAGAGAGATAGGGAGACACAGAATCTAAAACAGGTTCCAGGCTCTGAGCTGTCAGCACAGAGTCTGACTCAAGCCTTGAACTCAGGAACCATGAGATCATGACCTGAACTGCAGATGGACGCTTAACTGACTGAGTTACCCAGGTGCCCTGTCCTTTGATAAAATTTTAGATTTGTTTTTATACCCATGAAGTTTTTTTTTTTAATGTTTTTATTTATTTTTGAGCATGAGCAGAGGAAGAGCAGAGAGAGAGGTAGACACAGTATCTGAGCAGGGGAGGAGCAGAGAGAGAGGGAGACACAGAATCTGAAGCAGGTTCCAGGCTTTGGAGCTTTTAGCACAGAATCTGATGTGAGGCTCGTACTTGTGAACCACAAAATCATGACCTGGGCTGAGGTCAGATGCTCAACCGACTGAGCCACCCAGGGGCCCCTGAAGTTTCTTTTCTAATGCTAATATTTAGCTCTGGCTTCAGATTCAACTTTGGCACATTTGGCCATTCTGTATGGGCCAAAATCTATTTTGGGGGCATCTCGCGTAACCATGAGTGTACAGGAGCAGTGCTGTTTGGTTTGCCCAGGTAGGTGCTGTTCTCCAGCCAGAGGCCAGTTGGAACAGGGGTTTGTGGGTGGGCACAGTGGAGTAAGGGAGGTACAGATTTTGGCGAGAGTAGTTGAAATGATGGATCTTTGTACCTAGGATCACAGTTTCTCATCCATCAGGTTTGTAACTGTCTTTGCCTGAGGAGATTTGCCTCCTCAGAAGATTGATGGGGAAGGAAGATACTGTAGCTTAGCCTTCTTTGATTAGCCCTAGGGGCACAGTGCACATTGTATGACCTCCCCATATGCACTTCAGTTGCTAAGGGAAACAAGATTGATGGTCAGGACTTGCAAGCTTGATGTGCGATCAGGCCAATTTCTTCTTCTGAGCCTCCATAAAATGAGATGATGGTAATAGCTATTTACTTTTTTCTTTTACTGGCCAAGCTGACCAGAGAATATTAGACCTTACTTTTTTTTTAACAAGCGTAACAGCCATTGTTATTAGCAACATCATCATCATCATTATTATTGGTGCTTCCTGTCAGCTTACATCCTCTAAGAGTAGGGTGGTAACAGTTTTTTATAAAATGTTCCTATACCATAGATAAAAAGAAAGTTCTCTTTGGTCATTCTGCTACCAATCTCAGTCTTTGCCTCAGAGATCACCATGACCAGTTTAATGTATGTTCTGCTAAACCCTTTACTGTATGGTTACATATATAGTACCTGTAACATTATATATTTTGTAGGGTAGAGCTTCCATGAAGTTTTATGTTGTATATATTATTCATTAACTACTATTTTCACGTAACTATGAAAAATTAGTTATTTTTAAAAATCTGATTCTAAGCAATTTACCATTAGCCTATTAGTTTTTCTTTAAACTAGTGTACAGTACTAAAACCAGTTCCATTGTCCTTATCAAATTCTTAATGAGAGACTGATAGGGAAAAACAGAACATTAGCCTGGAGTGGGAGACAAAGAAGTGGATGAAGGTCAGGACAGGGCTTGGCAAGCTCTAGGCCAACAAGACTGAAAGTATTAAATAAGGTAAGATTTATAGAGCTGGTACATAGTAGGTACTCAGTGAAGGGTAGTTTTTTTAGCCAAATCACAGAAGAAACGCACTAGGGAGGGGAGCACAAAGAGGTTGTGTTAGCTATTCTCTGCATATTTACTGAAATGCCTACCAGCTTGCCTCGTCCCGGGACAGCTGTGAGTGGTGGCTGAGGAGAGAGCTTCAGTACAATCAGTATAGGCACTATACACTTTAATTGGGAGGTCGAGGTAAGAAGGTGGTAGCACACAGTAGCTGTGCAGAATTGTGTTGCTCCATATCTTGGACTTTGAATATATCCGAATAAACCAGGATACTTGAAGCTGTGTGGTTAGTGACCAACTATTCATATGGGTTGCTTTTTGAAAGATACTGTAGGAGTTCACAGACACAGTATGAAACTAATTTCCACCCATGTACTGTAATTATTCTTTTTAGCTTCTGAAATTCCTTAAAGAAGGATCAGCCATAATAGGAGCAGAAAAGAAAACCAGAATTTGGGAAATTCATCTTTGCCTTATTAAATTTCCTTAGATTCTTTCCAATAATTTAAAAATATTTTTCCATTGGCATTTTTTGGGCAGGGAGGGGGGGAGGAGCAAACAAGCCTTTTTTTTCAGACAAAGCATTTTGTATTTTTTCTTAATTGATTTTTCTCTCATGGTTAGAATTGAAGGTACCCATTAATGCACTGTTTAGCTGGGTCAGCCTTCTTATCTCACAGATAATTAGGAGACCCGACTTGCTCAGCGCTACACAGAGAGAAGTACTAAAACTCAGGTCTTCTGACTCAGTCTCGTGCCTTCTGCCTATTTTTCTTGCAGACAGCATTTGAAAACATTGAGTGTGGAGGCAGCATGCATTATATTTAAGATTACAGTCTCTGAAACCAGCCTGCCTGGTTTAAAATCTCAGACTTTCCTTTAGCTAGCTCTTCAGTTGGTTAAGTTGCACCCCGGTTTTCTCACCAGTAAGATGAGGATAATAATGGAGTCTCTGTCATAGCGCTGTGCTTAGAAGAGTACCTGGTGCATGCGAAGCGCCCAGACTGTCAGCTGCTGCTTTTGTGATTGTCGTGTTTGTACATGCAGCTCCACAGTGCTTAGCAGCAGTATAGATCGATCCTGTCAATCTTGTCATTTCTGATCCCATCAATGAGACATTGTATAATGTAAGTATTAAATATTTTAACATTGGAAATTGTTGATTTTTTACCTCTGGAATAAACTTTGTCTTTTTATGCAGATATATTATTATTATTTTTAAGTATGTGGACTGTTTTAGTGCTTGCTTTAGAATGAAATAGAACCTCTACTTGGAAGTGTCCTTTGATTCTGTTTTTCTTTTTTCCTCAGCAATACAAGTTCTTGCGCTTCAGGAGATCTCTGCTCTTGTTAGTTAAGCATAGTTGTGTGGAATCTTTGTTCCTGATTAGAAATTTCTGCGTTCTGTATTACTTCCTTGGTAAGAATTTCTGCTTTTTGATATAGTGTATGTGTTAGCTCATCAGTTACAAAGTCATTTTTTATTTTATTTGCTTGCTTCTTAATTGTAAGTAGGTGATTATCCTAACTGATTCAATGTTTAGATTGCATAAGTGTATTTAGTTAAAGGAAAATATTGTTAAAGAAAATGTGTATACAAACAATGGTATATTATTCAACCTTAAAAAAGAAGGAGATCTTGTCACATGCTACAACATGGATAAAACGTGAGGACAGCATACTAAGTGAAATAAGCCAGCTATCAAAAGACAAATATTGCGTGATTCCACTTACATGAGGTGTTATTTGAAGCAGTCACACTCTTAGAAATAGAAAGTATAATTGTGGTTGCCAGGGGCTATGTGGGGGAGGAAAAAGGAGAGTTGTTGCTAAGTGGGTAGAGAGTTTCAGTTTGCAAGATGAAAAAGTTCAGATCTGTTGCACAAGGTGCAATAGTGTATGTACAGTTCATGGTTAGGCTGGCAATTTTGTTGTGTGGTTTTTACCATTTAAAAAAAAAAGAAAACGTATGTCATTTGGTCATTCTATAAAATACTCTACTTTGTAACTTTTTGTAAGTTGGTACTAATATACTAGAATATCCTGCTGCTAAGGGAAACCTATAGAATTTATTAACATGAATATTAAGCACAGAAACAGCTTATTTAATATATTAAGGCAGTTCAAGTTGAAAGGAAATATTAATCTCAATAGCAATATATAGTAATATAAACAAAATTCAATATTGTAAAATACTGTATTCAGATTACAGGTTTCCACCACTATCCAGAAGTGGAGTGTTCCAGAAGCAATTACTGTTAATTTATATGGAAAGATTAAAAAAATTTTTTTTAATGTTTATTTTTGAGAGAGACAGAGTCAGAGTGTGAGGTGGGGGGTGGGAGTGGGTGGGGAGGTGGGCAGAGAAAGAGACAGAGAATCCAAAGGAGGCTTCAGGCTCTGAGCTGTCAGCATAGAGCCCGATGTGGGGCTTGAACTCAGGAACGCTGAGATCATGACCTGAGCTGAAGTCACATGCTCACCTGACTGAGCCACTCAGGTGCCCCTATATGGAAAGATTTTTGAGCATCCCAAACTCCCAAAATAACCTCTCTTAGGCTTTTCTGATACGTTAGGGCACATCTCGCTAATGGATGCACAGAACAAATTGAGATAAAGCACAGATGCTCACAGACACAGTTCAAAGTTTTGGAGGCTTGGTGCTGAGTTGCTGCGGGTGGTTCCCGGGAAAGGAGCCTGGCGGGGCCGTTCTCGCTGCTCAGGTGTGCGGCCTTTACCCGGCAGCTGTGCCGGCATGCTGCCACACAAATGCCGAGTGTTGTTTTCGCTTTTGTGCCTTCTTCATGAATTTGGATTTCTTTCAGTTAATGAGAACAAGTGCTAGTGTAGGCCTTTCATAAAAGCGAAGTGACATAACACAAACTTGCAAAAAGCAGGGGATATCTGTATAACTTTCTGATCCTACTTTTTTCTATGGAATCATTTTATTGAATTGTTTTTACTGGGCATGGGCGGTTGTGCTGTCTACTTCTTTTTTTTTTTTTTAATGTTTTATTTATTTCTAGGAGAGAGAGAGAGACAGCATGAGCAGGGGAGGGTCAGAGAGAGAGAGGGAATCACAGACTCTGAAATAGGCTCCAGGCTCTGAGCTGGCAGTCAGCACAGAGCCCGATGTGGGGCTCGAACCCACGAACCGCGAGATCATGACCTAAGCGAAAGTTGGATGCTTAACTGACTAAGCCACCCAGGCGCCCCTGTCTACTTCTTTTACATGTAGTTTATATACCCCGTTGTTTTACACAGCTCTTAGAGTTGTCGTTCTGATGTTAACACCTTGTTGTTTTTATTAACCTACTGTCTTCAGCCTGGCTGGCCCTCTACCGTTGTACACTTGGGCTGACATAGCGGCTCTGTCACTGTTCCCCTGGTCAGCCATTTCTTCTAGAACTCCGTACATGTTCCATTCAGATTTCATTTCAAATGTTAGCACTTTTCATTTCTTTGTTACACTTGGGTCTTTTTGGCCAGTTTCTTCTCTCAGTTATTCATTTTTATAAAACGTCATGTGGGCTTTTCATGAGAGACAAAGAGGCAACACAATTTCATGCTTTGCTGTCTGTGCCTGAACTGAACAACAGATGTCAATGACCATCATACACAGACTTAGAAAGAAGGGATGTGATTAGTCAGACTGTGGTGTGTATCCATTATCAACATACTGATTTGTGTACTGAAGAGCTGGAAGTCCTATATTCAGTTGCTCTCTGTAAATATACCATTGGTAACTGAAATTTGAATTATGCTGTTGAGGGACTAGTGTGATTTAACTAAACCACCACTGAAATATGTACATAATCAGACCTATGCAAAGCAAGGACTTCCTATATTTAGAAATTATTCCCTTTTCCTGCCCATTCCTAATCAAACAACCTGGTGCATTGACCTAGGTCTTGGTGTCTACTTGGTCATCTCATCAACATCATATTACAAAGTATGGATAAGACTTACTAACTTTTTATGTTCATAGCATGATATTTTTTTCCTCTTAGGCCATATTCCCAGAGCTTGGATTAGCACTGCAATGGACCTTCAAATAGATGAGTAAGTGATTTTTAACTCTCGTTAGTTGTTTCCATCATTTTAGGTGTTTACCACTTAACAGATGTTTTATTTAGATTTAGCCTTTAAATTTTTAAAGTTAAAAAATAATAGTATTCGTTTTGGAATATACCTAGTTCATATAACTTAAAATTCCAGTGTCATATAAGAGAATACAGTTAAGAGTAATCCTTTTGTTCCTGTCTCTAGTCACAAGGTCCCTCTCCCTGGAAGTTAGCAGTGACAATTTGTTTCAGCTTTTATATCGTAGACAAGCGGACTTCTTGTGTTGTATGGGCATATCTCTCTTATGTTCCTCTTCAGTAATCATTCTCTACTATTGTGGTATGCACGCACAGTGCTGTGGTATTTTAATTTTGCCGCTAAGAAAACCAAAATTGGGCAGGGTCATGTGACCAGTTAAAGGTCAATAAGTGGTAATCAAGTGGCAGCACTGGGTGTATTACTCTAGTTATTTCCCATGTACTTTGCACGTAGATAAAGCTTTAATCTTTATTTGAGAAAAAAATGGAAATTTTCTATCAGTATTTGTTCTTTTAATTATTATTCTACTGTGAGACTTTTTATATCATGTAGATTTAACTAATAGCAGTTTTGAGGAGTGGGGATGTTGACATTTGTAGGTGTTTGAGATATTATGGTTTCTACATTATGTATTTCAGTTTCTAACTTCTTTTAATGTCTATTTATTTATCTATTTAGAGAGAGAAAGAGAGCGAGCAGGGGAGGGGCAGAGAGAGGGAAACAGAGACTCTCAAGCAGAAGAGAATCCCAAGCAGGCTCTGCACTGTCAGCATGGAGCTCAGTGCAGGGCTCGAACTCATGAACCGTGAGATCATGACCTAATCCAAAATCAAGAGTCGGATGCTTAACCGACTGAGCCACCCAGACACCCCTCGATTTCTAACTTTTAAAATTTCTAGGTAAATTTAGTTTTGTCCTCGGTTTAATTGCTAGATACGAAACCAAATGCATGGGTCATTTCTTATCTTAGCCCAGATTTTCCTTGGGTCTAATGGAAAGAGAAAATTAATGACATTTGATTGTAATTTAATGTAGTACTTTTTCCTTCTTTCACTTAAAATGTATTTTATTTGTATGGTAGTGCCAAATATTCTGTCCTTAATATATGTCAATATATTGAGGCGCCTGGGGGGGCTCAGTCGGTTAAGTGTCCGATTTCGGCTCAGGTCACGATCTCACAACTCATGAGTTCGAGCCCCACGTCGGGCTCTGTGCTGACAGCTCAGAACCTGGAGCCTGCTTCAGATTCTGTGTCTCCCTCTCTTTCTGCCCCTCCCCTGCTCGTGTTCTGTCTCTGTCTCAAAAATAAATAAACATTTAAGAAAAAAGAATATATATATATGGCAATATATATATAAATACTTAAAATCTGAAAGTAACTTTATTCTCCTAGAAAATGTTAAGCACTATGCTAGGCATTCATAACCTAAGGTGATTTAAATGTCAGAATACCCCTAAGAAGTAGAAGGAAGAGGGGTGCCCGGCTGGCTCAGTCATTTGATCATTTGACTTTGGCTCAGGTCATGGTCTCACAATTTGTGGGTTTGAGCCCCGCGTCAGGCTGAGAGTTTGGAGCCTTGAGCCTGCTTTGGATTCTGTGTCTCCCTCTCTCTCTTACCCTCCCTCCTTCCCTTCCTCTCTTCTCTTTTTTTCTCTAAAAAACATATAAACATTTAAAAAAAAACCCTTTTTTAAATTAAAAAAAAAAAAGTAGAAAGAAGAGATAATGGCACCATTATATAGATGAGGAAATTGAGGGTGGGTTAGGTCAAGCAGTTAAAGGTAATCACAGCAGTCATAGATGGCAGAGCCAGAGGTTCTAATCCTGCTTTAAAATTACTAGTTGTGTGACTGTAGGATTATGATGACTTTGCTAATTCATCTACTCAAGGTTTTGGTAAAGTAGTGTTCCCTTTATTTAGCCTTCTAACAGATTTTCTTAAAATTTTTTTTTAAAGTTTATTTATATTTTGAGAGACAGAGAGAGGTAGCACTAGCTGGGGAGCAGCAGATAGAGCGGGAGAGAGAGAATCCTAGCAGGTTCCTTGCACTCGGTGCAGAGCTCCACGTGGGACTTGATCTCATGAACCATGAGATCGTGACCTAAGCCAAGATCAAGGGTCAGATGCTTAACCAACTGAGTCACTCAGGTGCCCCTTAAATTATTTTAAAAGTAAAGATTATGCTTTTCTGATAGTAGTAGGTGCTCCCAACTCTTGTGGAACCGTTTATAGGGTGTACAGATAGAGCTGAAATCCGCCCCAGGAGAGGTGGTAGGCCTGTTGAATGATTATGTATAAACTACAAAGCAACAGTAGTAAAGTTTTACCCAGCCACTAAGGGTTGGCTTACAGGCTTGGCTCATTCTTTCTCCATAGTAAATGACAGTGAAGATTTGGAGCACAAGAAACTGAGCATGAGTTTAGGTCTATTCTTCCTTTAAAGGCTCCCTTATGTAGTTTGTAAGAAGGTATTAGGGAAAGAATTGTATAGGGTGCAAAAGGACGGGAGTCTATAGCACCATTATTTATTTATTTTTTCATTAAAAATATTTTTTAAATGTTTATTTTTGAGAGAAAGAGCATGCACGCGTGCACGTGCATGAGTGGGGGAAGGGCAGAGAGAGAGACAGACAGACAGACAGAATCTGAAGCAGGCTCCAGGCTCTGAGCTGTCAGCAGAGCCTGACGTGGGGCTCGAACTCACAAACTGTGAGATCATGACCTGAGCCGAAGTCAGATACTTAACTGACTGAGCCACCCAGGTGCCCTTATATCACCATTATTATTTATAAATAAGATTTATTTGTTTGTCATTGTGAGACTGTTGAATGCTAAGACTGTATTTTCCTCATTGGATTAAATAGTAATTTCTGCTTTCATAGGCAGTTTCATAGGCCTCTTGACACTGTGAGTGGCCTCTTAAATCTCTCCTTACTGTACCATGTCTGGCTATGTGGTGTCTTTCTTCTGATGACTTGGTATATCTCATGGATACTCTTCAAAATCTTTGCCACAGAGGTTAGTGTTGAGTTTTTTTGTTAATACATTTGTGTTTCAGAGTGCACAGATTTATTTTTAGCAGAGCACTAAGCAGTATGCTATTGTGCCTAAAGCCATTTTGATAAATTGGGTTTTGGTCTCTGTTCTGAGACTTTATTAGGGATGTATCATTTGTAACCATAATTTGCTCTGTGTGTGTGTGTGTGTGTGTCTGTGTGTGTGTGTGTGTGTGTCTGTGTGTGTGTAAAGAACAGTGTTAGTGTTCTTCATCTTTGGAAACTAAACTACACGAACTGCTAGTGGAACTTACTTTGCTTTATCTGTAGTGTAATTCTTATTCCTCTAGTGAGCACATACTAAGTGCCTGAATTTTAAATTAGTTTTGCATGCTATTGACATAGCTACTATGAAACTATTTAATATAAAGCAATAAAATATTTGTTCTGAAAGAAAGTCTTAAGATTTGTATAGAAATGACTTTAGATGAATGGGAATTACATTGTCTTTATCATCTGAGTGTTTGTCTTAGGAAATGAGTGTCTGTTTTTCAGTTTACTGTCTTTGTAGGTTTGTGTCCTTCAGTAGCTTCAGATAGTCTTTGTTACTGGAAGCCAGAAATTTAATAGAATGGGGAGAGTAACATTTTAGAAAGTAGCTTGTTGAGGTGTGTGTAATTTTGATGCAATCCATTATTAAAACACTGAAGATGTTAATTTGGTTGTATTGTTTCCTGTTGTAACAAATTTCAATAGTGCTAACTTACTGAATAATAGAGTCAAGAAAATCATCATTTTCATAGTCTTATTTGATTCTATTTGGTAGGCTCATCTGTTCCCTGTCCAGCCACCATTCTCAGAAGAGTCGGATGAATGCCTCCCGAAGGTCTTAAACAGCAATCCCCCCCTCATCATAAAGGTGCCTGAACTGTGTGTTTTGTGTCTTTACACAATCATTTCGAACCTATTTATGAAGTGGACTTGGTATTTAGTGTATTTAGATCTAACCTTTGAGGGCCTAGGATATTCTAGCACCAGTATTTTGAAACATCATCTACAGGCTGCATGGAGTACTGTTCACTTTCTTAGTTTTCATTCCATGTGACTAAAATGCAAGGGTATATTGCAATGTGTATGTGCAAGCTATGCTAATTTGTGCAAACTATACTTAGAATAGGCATAAAAATATTTCCTGGCATGAAATACTATGATATACAACCGCATGCATTAGCTTTTCATAAACTTAAAATTATGGCAAAACAAAATATTCTGATTTATTTATTATGGAGTCAAGACATGTTTTTACTCATGTAGTATTGGTAGTTAGATCAAAGGTAGTGCTTGGTATGTATACACATATAATGAACTGTCTTAAAAGATGAATAATGATAGTGATCCTAAATTAAATTTTAATCAAAAGAGTTTAAAGAAGTTCTAGTAAATTTATAAATTAAGAATAGATTGTTTTGATTCAAATTGCATTTTGAAATTTTAAAGTAGATCTATCTATATGTAATATGTGTGATCTGTTAAGAAGTCATAGTACTTAAAAAATAATTCAAAGAAATGGAACCCAGAGTTTGGAATATGTTCTAGAAAGGTGTAAACAAATAAGAAAATGAACCACTGAGGTTTTGATTACCTTTAAACATCAATTATGACTAACTTATTAGATATACAAAAATATCAGGTACTCATTTGGTTATTTAACAAATCTTTATTTACTGGGTAGGTGTCAGTCATTGCTAGCTGCTTACGTCATAATAACGAATAAGATTTAGCACAGCCTAATGGAAAAGGCAGATACACAGAAGAATGGAAATTTGTTGTGATAAGTGCAGTAGGAACCACTTACTCTGCTTGGAACCAAAACAAGAAAGCTTCATAGAAACGATGGTGTCTTGAATGATGAGTGAATGGGTTTGCCAGAAAACAAAATGAAGATTTTCAGTAAAAAGTTCAACATATGTTGTGTGTTTGCTCTGTGCCAGGCACTGCCTTTGGATGTGGTGGCAAGCAAGATGCTGTCTTTGCCTCAGAGTTTAGTGGGTGGAACCAGATGAGACCAGTAAACAGGCAGTTACAGTAAATTATGTTAAGTGCCATGGTTGAGAGCTGTGTGAGTGTATGTTTATGTGGGGGAGGCCCGGGAAGTTCCAGGAGGAAGTGATGTTTATGTTTCCCACCATAGAGATGAGAGAGAACACAGAGTTTCTTGTAGCTGGGGCCTACAGTGGGTAGGGTAGCTTACAGAAGGTAGAGGCAAGAAAATTCTGGGAGTCCGGAAAGGAAGGTTATGGCCAGCTTGACTGACAAACTGAATATCCTTCATGAGAAATTTCAGCGATTTCCCCTTACCTGTATGATGCTGAGCTCAATTCATAACTAAGATTTGATATATAGAAGTTAAAACAATTAGGGACACCTAGGTGGCTCAGTTTGTTAAATGTTTGATTTTGGCTCAGGTCATGATCCTGCAGTTCATGAGTTTAAGTGCCTGATCGGCCTATTGTCAGCCCAGAGCCTGCTTTCATATTCTCTTTCCCTGCCTCTCTCTGTCTCTTTCCTGCTTGCGCATGCATGTGCACACACACACTCTCTCTCAAAAATAAACATTAGAAAAAATTTAAAACAAATAATGTATATTTTTTTTTTTAGCTATGTTATTCAATTTTTTTTTTTAGCTATGTTATTCAATATTTTATTTTATTTTATTTTTATTTTTTTTTATTTTTTTTTTTTTACAAATAGTTTATTGTCAAATTAGTTTCTACATAACACTCAGTGCTCATCCCCAAAGTGCCCTCCTTCATGCCCATCCCCCCCCCCCCCCCACAACCATCAGTCCTCAGTTTTTGTCAGCATTCAAGAGTCTCTCATGGTTTGCCTCTCTCCCTTTCCCCTACCATTTCCGCCCTTCTTCTCCCCCTTGTTCCTCCGTCAAGTTCCTCCTAATCCTCCTATACGTGCAAACATATGGTATTTGTCCTTCTCTGCCTGACTTATTTCGCTCAGCATCACACCCTCAAGGTCCATCCATGTTGCTACACATGGCCAGATTTCATTGTTTCTCATTGCCATGTAGTATTCCATGGTATAGATAAACCACATCTTCTTGATCCATTCATCTGTTGATGGACACTTAGGCTCTTTCCATGTTTTAGCTATTGTGGAGAGTGCTGCTATGAACATTGGGGTACATGTGCTCCTATGCCTCAGCATAAATAATGTATATTTTTTTCCCTTTTAGTATTTGGCCTTACAAGACCTGATGTTGCTTTCTCAGTATTCTCCCTCACGAAGACAAGAAGTTTTTAGCCTTAGCCAACCAGGTATTGCTAAACGTGACAGATATAGGCATGTGTGTGCAGAAGGTGTTCGACTTAAAATTTTTGGTGACAGAGATGTATTTAATAAAATACACAACTGTGAGTCCATTAAATGAAGTTTTGATTTAAATGACATATACCATTAAATGTTTGCATTGCTGTGGTTATAAGTTATATTTCCAGGAAAGGTATTTTTAAACTTTCTTCAGCATCCTCCTTCCCTTAACCTGAAGAAATTATGAGGTAGATTGACAGTTTTAGAGCAGAGGAGCACAGTTTTAGTATCCTTAAAGTTTTCATGCTATAGAGTGTCTGAAAATCGGGTGGTCTTATTCCTAGATGGGGCATCTAAGTCTCAGAAATATTAAGTGGCTTATATACAGTTAATGCCAGAGCTGGAATAAGAAATTCTGTCATTTGACTCCTAAGTGCAGAGCTCCCTCTGTCTGTCATGCTACTTTGCCTCCCTTTAAAGAAAAGTAAAAAAGTACTAGATTTGGTGGTGACCCAAAAGAGTGCTCTCGGCACCCCTGAAACACTTTTCCCCCGTCAGTTGTTACAAACTCCTCAAGACCGCAGCTGTGCCAGTGCTCTGCCTGTTCCTGGATGGAAAGCATTCCAGCCTAGCAACCAGTGGAGAACAGAGGCCCTAGCTAGCTGCTCATCTCTGTAATCAGCTCTTCATTTTTTTGCTAACCTTGCTAATTCCCACATTATAAAAGAAACCTTCTATGGTTAAATGTTACATGGAAATGAAATTCAGTTACATAAAAATATAAATAATTAGAGCCACTCTCTCCTTTTAGTAGCATGAAAAATGCAGAGCTGATGCTGTGGAAAATTATTAACTAGCAATTCTTTTTGGTCAAACTTCGGTTCACTTAGGAATTCTCTATGCATTAAATATTTTCACCAGATACTCCAGTGAATTGTAGCAGGGTGACATGTTCTCCACTAGAGAACTTAAATTCTAGGGCATATTATTAAAGTTTCACTGGACCATCACATCGTTCTTTAGTGGTCCTGAGTTATAGCAGTGCAAAACATCCTGGAACCTACTGATGAAGTATTTTGTTTGCCTGTAGGTTAAGCTCTTGAGCTGTAAATGGGGGAAATGTTTAAGGAGGGCTCTAAGTGAAGACAGAAAGCTTATTTGGCAGCCAGAATGGGAAACCAGTTTTCAGTGGACTCCTTGGCTATTTTCAATATAGAAAGAAGCATGGTTGATTTTTATGTGGCAGCTGTGGGAAAGAAAAGTTTTAGGGAATGAAAAGATGAGAGTAAAGGAATTTTTACAAGACTGCGGATCATAGTAGTTTGTAACAGATATGTGTATAAAGTATGATAGTCTTTCCTACAGACATAATAACAAATAGGGGCCATTGTAAATGAGAATGGAAGGACGCACGGTGGGCCAGACACAGTTTATGGGTCTTTGGGGGCCATGGGGTGCATCTCACAAGACATGCTTGTGTTCGTTGTCTTAGTCTTCAGGCTGTTCAGTGCTGGTGGGGAAGTAACTCTAGTCTTTTTCACTCACACCATGCTCTAGTGTTTGGCTTTATTTCAGCAACAATTTGATAGTTTTTTTTTTTTCTTCACACTAAAATAGCAAATTTTTGCTTGTACTTTTTGGAAAATGATTTTGTCCAAACATGTATTGAACTCCTGCTGTGTATTAGATGGCAGGAGCATAAATAGTAGCTTAGCCATGGAAAGTGGGCCTTGATGCAAAGTGTAATGTAGCATTTCTTGCAGAGTTTTCTCCTCATTTTGAGAGGAGACTATAAGATTACGTACATTTTAAAAGCTGGTTTTTCAACCCCCTAGGTGGACATCCCCACAATTGGACAGCCATTTCAAGGGAGTGTTTGAACCTTTTAAACGATATGACTCAGAAACTGGTTCTCTACCAGGAAGCAGCTGCTACGAATGGGAGAATGGTGCCTTCATACTCTGTGGAACCTAAGAAATCGAATTCTCCAGGTAATGCCTGTACTACTGAGAGAGGGCAAAGTGTGTACATTTTGTTTCCTAAGAAAGATGATGGTGGTTAATCTAAAGATATGTATACATGAGTGTGAAGGATTTTTAGGGAAAATTTTTAGGGAAAGTTGATCTAATATGTGGGATACTATATTGAACCAAGAAAAAAGCCTGAGTACCATTGTAGATTGAAGAAATTAAGTCTGGTGTGCTGATGGTGTTAAAAAGGCTAACAAACTGTGGCTCATCAAACAGAAGGAAGCTTCAGCTTCCTCAGGTACAAAGCCAGGTGAAGCTTTAGAGATAGTGCTGGGGCTGGTCTTGTTGCAGTATCCCAGAGGCAGAAAGCTGCTGGCCAATGCCCAGTGAAGAGTAACTGCGTGACTGAGTGATTTCCTGGTGCGGGCATCACTTTCATGGTTTTCAGAGGGCCTGATAGTATGTTTGAAAGATGAAAGCTGAGGGGAAGAGGCACAGTGGAGGAACCTTGGCCATTTGACCAAATTCCTTAAGTCGAAGATGCCAAGGAATGTAAGACGAATGAAACAACTTAATGTCCACCTGCCTTTTGGAGCCAGGCCTTTAATGAAAATGGGCAAAACTGGCTGGGTGAGGACTGTGGTAAATGTGAGAGCACTGGCTTCATATGCACGGGAAGCTGGGGGTTAGCTTCAGTCCATTGTTCCCATGTGGGAATTTTGACCCAGTATCTGAACTTCTATGTGCCCCTACTTCCTTCCCCCCTTTTAAGAGAAGCCTGAAGTCTAAAAATATAGTGGGTGAAATTTTCCACTTTTTTTTAAAGTTTATTTATTTTGAGAGAGTATGTGGTTGTGAATGGGGGAGGGACAGAGCAAGAGGGAGACAGAATTCCAAGCAGACCCTGTGCTGTGAGCATGGAGCCTGATACGGGGCTCGATCTCACAAACCATGAGATCGTGACCCGAGCTGAAATCAAGGGTTGGATGCTTAACCAACTGAGCCACCCCAGGTGCCCTGAAATTTCCACTTTTTAAATGTTGGTAACTAATCTTGATATTTGAAAAATCACCATATGGGTCACAGTAAACATCATGACTCTCAAGGGTCATAGATGAAAATGAGAGATTACAAACGAAAAACAAGTTAGGTAAGATCATGAATGTCAGATTTTTAAAAGATTCTAGTGTTTCAGTTGTTCTCCACATTCAGATTAGCATTTATTTATTCAACAAATATTTATTGAATGCTTACTATATACCAAGCAATGTGCTAGAAACCAGAGAATCAAAGATGAAAAAACACTCTTAGAACTGACCTTTTAGTGGGAGGTACACAAATAATTACAAGACAGTGGAATTGCTAAAAGGAAGTCTGTCACAAAGGAGTCTAAACGGGTAGGATGATGATTGATCATGAAAGAAGGCCTAGCATGTATATAGAGTTTACATTTTGTAGGGATATGGAGCCATTTGAGACTTTTGAACAGGCTAGTTATATCAAATTAGCATGTTAGATCAATGCAGTCCTGGGTTGGGAGGGAATCATGGGTCTGACCAAATAGGAATTATTCATTATTTTAAATTGTTGTCACAGCCCGTTGCTCAGTGAATATTTATTTCACATTTTGCAGAACTTAAAAAACCAGTCTTAATTTTTAAATCAATTCTTCAAATATTTCCATCTGCCACTAACCTTAAAAAGTCGTTAATAAAAGTTTGGCACTTTAAATGTTTGACATTTTATAGTGGCTTTATTAAGGTAGAATACCAGTGTAATATATTTGTCTTTGTTCCTTGCCCTGGAATAGCTGGAAAAATATTCCTTTGTTTTTGTTCAGTGGAGTCTATAAATTGGTGATTATAAGATAATTTTTGAAGAAAGCGTTTATAGGTCATATTTGTGGATAATCCTGGACAAATTCGTCTCTGGTGTGACTTTCGTTAACTTAAAAAAATTCTGTGGAAAATGGATATAAGTGTGCATTTATCAGTACGCTTTCACAATACGGATTTGTTGTAGCTGAGTAATAGCTGCAGTGGGAACTTGCAGTAACATAGGATACATCCCAGTGCAATAACTGAAGTTGTTGCCGTTTAAAAATAAAATATAAATTGATAGGTTCCTTCAAAACAGCTTAGATTTAGAGAAACTGACCCCGAAGGTGAAGATCTTCTCCAGGGGAAGAAAATGAGGGAAGTTGCACCAGTTTGACAGAAGATGTAGAACACCCCTTGAGTGGTCACCAAGTTGCCGTCATAAAAGCTGGATGTGGGGAAGGTAAATGTTATGTGGAAACAAGCTACTGAACTTTGGGTAAATGCATTAAGCGAAAAACTGAGACATACAGAATTTGTTCAGGCTGCTTCTTCAGCACTGGATCTGTTCTTTTACAGAAGAAACTACGTTTCAGACCCCGAAATCTAGCCAGATGCCTCGGCCTTCAGTGCCACCATTAGTTAGGACGTCACTGTTTTCCTCAAAATTATCTACACCTGATGCAACAAGTCCCCTCGGAACCCCGTTTGGCTCTAGTGTAGTGAATCGAATGGCTGGAATTTTTGATGTAAATACCTGCTATGGGTCCCCTCACAGTTCTCAGCTGATAAGAAGAGGGCCAAGACTATGGACTTCTGCTTCTGGTGAGGACTGTTTTTTAAAGTTTGTAATGTCATAGTTGTAGAGAATCCGATATCCTCTAAGTTTTCACTTTCTTGGGTTTTTTGTTTTTTGTTTTTATTTAGATCAGCAAGTGACTGAATTTTCTAATCCTTTTGCATCTACCTCTGTTAGTGCGGAGGGTAAGACAGCAAGACAGCCCAGTATGATTTATTCATGGATTCAGAATAAACGTGAACAGGTAGGATTATAGGTTATAGGATTTGTATTTGCATGTAACATTGAGAGCGTTAAGAATCTCACAAGAGTAACCCATCAGGGATAAATAGGACTTTTTTTTATGATGCTTCATGTATTAAGTTGACTCATATGAAATTGCCAGTAATTGACTGGTTTTGAGCTATATAAATTGCAATTTCATATGACTGAGCCTAATACAACACCTTTGATGTGTGAATTCCTTTATTTAATAAACAATTACTAAGTTCTTTATATATGCAGGGTATGGTTTTAGGCACTGGGAAAACAGCAAACAAAAGTCCCTGACCATCAGTGAGCACTCAAACGTATTAAACCAGATCTCTTTGAATATAATACTGTTGTGAGGCTTATTTCATATGCTGTTAAGAAAAAAAGTTGCCATCACATGCTGTCAACTGTAAGATGCATCCTAATATGTTATATTCAAAATGTGAAAAATATGTGTCTTAAAGGGGAAGAAAGTTGATTTCTTAATACGTGCTATTTAGGAAAATAGAGCCATTAAAGGAGGTCTCCTTGATAAGTTGATACTTGATTAGAGACCTGATGGGAAGGCAGAGAACAGACAAATGCAGCAGTCCTCAGGTGGGGAGTGTGCTTGATTTATGTGAGGAACAGCATGGACACTAGTAGGTGGTGATGAAGTCAGAGAGTCAGCAGGCACATTAGTTATCGTGAAAACTGACGTTTCCTCTGATGAGATGGAAGGCCACAGGATGATTTTGTCCACAAGAATGACGTGATGTAACCTTACATCCTGAAAGTGCTGCTTGGCTGTTGCGTTGAGACTAGGCTCTCAGATGGCAGGGGCAAAAGCAGAGAGACGGTTGTAAAGCTGTGAAGTCGTCTAGTGGGAGATGATGGCATCGGTGATCAGGGTGGTTGTAGTGGAGACCGTAAGATGTGATCAAGGTCTGGATGTATTTTGAAAGTAGGTATAATAGGATTTGCTGACGATTTGGTTTTGTGAAAGAGAGAATCAGTGTTGACTTTCAAGTTTTTGGCTTGAGTATCTGAAATAATATAGTTGCAATTTATGGCGTAAATGTAACTGATTTGAAGAGATTTGATAGAGATGAGATTGGGAAATTATGAGTTTGATTCATGTCCATTTTGAGATATTTATTAGACAACCAGTTGAAAATACTGAGTAAGAACTGAGACTTTTATCCAGAGTGTAGGGGAAAGTTCTGGACTAGAAATACAAATTTGGAAGTCATCAGAATATCGACAGTATTTGAAGTCATGAGACTCCCATGAAAAAATGCTTTGGGAATGGATACAAAAGAAAAGACATGTAAGAACTGGACAGTCCAGTGACTAAAGGTCTGAGAGATGAGGAATAGCAGAGGAGACCAGGTGACTGTTGAATTGAGGAAAGAACCAAGAGAAGGGGAAGTAAGTGCCACATGCTGCTGGTACACAGCCTGAGATCCACACTAGGAATGAACTGTTGTGCTAGAAATGTGGAGGTCGTTGAGTCCTTGTCCAGGTGTTGGGTGGAGCCATGGGGATGAATGCCCGGTTGGACGGGTCCAGGAGAGATGGGAGGAATTGGAGGCCACAAGAAAAACTGATCTTTCAAGGAGTTTTGCAATAAGTGGTACAGAGAAATGGGGTAATTAGTAGCTGGAAGGAGTTGAGGGGCAAGGAAGGGCTTTATTTTTTAAGATGGGAGGAATAAAATCATTTTTAATGGAATGATTGATTAATAGCGAGGCACTACAGGCATTATACAAACTTCGGGATCCCTTTACCCTACATGTCGTTAAGTACTGCCATATCGTGAATTCACTTTCAAGTCAGTTGGGGTATATAGCTTTCAGCTTAATACTAAGAAGATTGTTTCCCACATCAAGATCAACTAATAGAAAACCATTTCATGTCTTAAGATTTCTTTTTTTGTTGTCTAAGGAAATACTTTTTTTTTTTTTTGGCATTAATTCGTCAAGGGGCAAGACAATTGTCAAGAATTGAGTAAGAAAACATCACCAGCATCAATTCAAATTCCTTTTATTGTGGGGTTAGACATGTGTACTTGAGAATGCAGTTTAGGTTAGATGGCCCATCTTAGTTCCAGTTTATAGCCCAAAGGTAGTTACTTATGTGGTTTACTGTAACTATTCTCTGTAAGGTGTGAAGTGTTTCATTAGTGTCAGGAAGAAACTGGGGATGTGTTAACATTACGTTTGAATAGATTTGAAAACTACATGTATTAATTCTTTTTTTTCCAACTCAGGTTAAGAATTTCTTATCAAAACGGGTGCTGATAATGTATTTTTTCAGTAAGGTAAGAATGTGTAGTTACAGCATTGGGAATGGGGAAAGAGGAAATGAAACAAGAAATGAAGTACTAGATTGGATTTGACTTCTAAATATGTAGCTCGATCCTAGCAGGCCAAACAGCTTGGCGTGGTGCTCCACTAAACCTCCATGTTAGTAACCGCTGCCCTAGACCCACCTCGGCTCAGTGGCTTCCTGAGTCTCCTGGCTGGGGCCACCTTTGTGCTGATATGCAGCCTCTTCCTGCAGAATGATCAAATCCATGGCGATCCTTCATGGCTCACTATCCTGCTAAAATCTTTGTGGCCAGTTTGGTGTTCAGAAGAGAGATGGCTGGATTAGATTATAGATGTTAAGCTTGTGTGATTCAGGCCACAAATGAAATGACTTTCCACCTTGTCCGTCCGCTACCCTGGCTGCCACAGGAGAGTGGCTGAATCGCAGAAGCTAAAGAGTCATTCCTTTCTCACTGACTACAGCTGTGGCATGTTAATCATTTGATGAGCAAAACTTTTGCCCATATGTAGGGGAAGGAATTTTTGTTAGCTGTTTAAATCTAACTTCTTTCGTTCTGAAGATACTGCAGTATTAGCTAATATTGTACTCAGTTAAAGTGAAAAGTGTGCACTGGTGTATAATTATTCATTTTCATTCTGTGGGAGAGAGATCTGAGTAACTCTGATAGAACATAGGCAGGCACACAGAACAAAGAATCATTTCAAGTGCTTGAAACTTTTTTCTCGCTTTGGTGGCAGGGAAGATCCACCCAACTAGCAATTACCTTTACCAGAAAGAATCTACCTCAGGCTCTCCATTAGAGCTTTGGGCAAACTATCAGCCCCTGAGGAAGCTGTCCTGTCTTCCACCAAGAGGAAGAGGGGATGTCCGAAGTTTTACTTCAGAAGGATGGGAAGAGAACCACCCTTGTGTCTTATGTATGCCATGCTCTTTTCTCTTAAGTTCCCTCGTTTAATTCTAACAGCATTCCTATCAGCTGTCTTGTTGTCCTCATTTTACAGATAAGGAAACCTGAGGTTCAGAGGGGGTCAAGTAGCTAGGCTAAGTAAGGGCACATAGCGAGGACGTGGCAGAGCAGATGCTGAACAAAGTCTCCTTTTCCCTCGGAAGTGAATGGCTGCTTTTGATTCTGATTTTGCGGGTGGATCTATTTTAAAAAGAGGAGGTGTAGACACTGCCGTTGGATGTTGAAAAATGTAACATGCCCAATGCATTCAATAGGCTTTATTGGGTGCGTTACCAAAGTCAGCATTTGTTAAAGTGGGCCAGTTGTTGCTCCCTACTATTTGACCTTGCTGTATTAAAAAGGTTGGATGGTGTTTCTTTGGAGTGGGGGTGAGGGTAGACAGTTTAAGAGCGGTAATGTGTATTTAGGCATTCTGAGGTTTTAACATTAGGTGTTCTGAGCATTTGCAACCTTGTCTTAGGTGATCTCTATACTAATCTAAGGTGGGCTGAGTATATGTAACTCTTATTTTAAGTGGGAAACTAAGACATACAGAGGTTTAGAGATTGGGCAAGAGTCGCACAATAAATTGGTGACAGACTGCTTTATTGCAGTTAAATCATATTGTATAAGAATTTCAGATTTTAGGGGGCTCCTGGGTGGCTCAGTCAGTTGAACACCTGACTTCAGCTCAGGTCATGATCTCACAGTATGTGGGTTTGAGCCCCGTATCTGGCTCTGTGCTGACAGCTCAGAGCCTGGAGCCTGCTTTGGATTCTGTCTCTCCTCTCTCTGGCCCTCCCCTGCTAGTGCTCTGTCTCTCTGTCTCTCCCAAAATAAATAAATGTAAAAAAAAAAAAAAAAATTCAGATTTTAATTCTTGAGAGGCAGCTGTAAAGTTTTTATTGTTATAGGCTACATAGTTGATAGATGAAATAACAGAGTTATTGCCCAGGAGAACTTACTTAAATGTTTTTGTTGTATTTGTAGCACCCAGAGGCGTCTATTCAGGCTGTTTTTTCAGATGCCCAAATGCATATTTGGGCATTAGAAGGTAAGCAATCTCAGTGAACTACAATTATGATTTTCATTACCAGTTAAATACTGAAGTGTAATCCATGAGAAGTCAATTCTAGACTTTGTCTCAGTCTTTTAATTTTTAGATACGTTTTTATATCTTTGTTTTCTATTGGTCATTTTTCTTTCTTAGATACTTAGGTGTGCTTTAATTTGGGCAGAAATTTTCCTGATGTATAAGCAGCGAAACTGAGTCTGGGATTCTTAACCTATCTTTTTCTACTTCAAAAAGGTGCAACAATTAATAGATTGTTTTCAACTGTCAACTTATGTTGACCTAACATATTTAACATTTTAATGTATTTAACTTAGCTTGAATATGAAAACTTAGTTGTTAAAGAACTGTTTGTTTTCATCTTCTAGATAAGGCCTTCTCAGTGCTTAAATGATACTTCCTCAGAGAGCCCTTACCTGACCACCCTAATGAAAAGTGCCCTCAACAGCTTTCGCTCTTTTCTCTTATCCTGCTTTGTTTTTCTACCACTCATCATTACCAGACACAATATCATTTAAAAACTTTTCTTCCTACTAAAATGTAGAGACCGTCATCTTATTCAGGACTGGTGTGGTTGAGCACCTTTTCTAGGTGCATATTGGAGTGCATATTCCAGTCTTTTGCCCACTTTTCTAGCATATTGCCCTTCTCCCTTATTTTAAGTTCTTTAGATTCTCAGGATATTAATCCTTTCTCAATGGATGTATTGCCAATAGATGTATTGCCTAATTTTTATTTCCTTTTAATTTTTTTTCCCCTTTTCTTTTGGAGGTCTGTCTCACTTAGTAGCAGCATCATTCACTGAAGATAGATACGGAGTTGTCCAGACCACACTACCAGCTATTCTTAATACTTTGTTGACGCTGCAAGAGGTAGGCAGTGTGTGGGTTGGGGGGAGATAGATGGTCGTGTTTTTCCCTCCCTCCCAGGTTTTTCAGTTTGTTTCTCACATATCACATTTATCAAGTAACAAAACGTATTTTAGAAGTTAAAATATGGTATTGTTCTCACCCATGGGAAATTCTAATATAAGAGAGACCAGGAAGAGAAACTTCTAGTTCGTTTATAAATAATAATTTTATATAAACAGAAAAAAGGAAGCCGCTAAGCCTCTAGTATTAATCAGATTACTTAGAGTATTAGGATTCTGTTCAGTGGTATATGTTTGGATCGTTACACAACTTGTAGCTACTAAGAATGACCTGTAGTTCATTTATCCTTGCAGATGAATATTACCTATGGGCCAGATCCCTGCTACCACGCTGGGTGCACATATTTAAAAGTAGCAGGACCTTTTAGTCCTAGACTTAAAGACAGAGATAAAACATAAGCTTCTTGCTTTTGAGTAGGCTGCCTTTCCTGACTTCACGTTGGGTGGTATGTTTTACGCTGTCTTGTCATTGTCATTGTATGTCAGGTGAGAGATCCAGACGCTGAGTGCCAAAAGCATTTCCAGGTGGGAGCTGGGCTGTGCAGTAGGTGTTCCAAAGGAGTGGTGTTGAAGTAGGCTGAAAGGAGAACGTTTGGTGCATCTTTGGGTCTTGGGAGGGAATGTACAATATGAAACATGCTTCGCCATCCTTTTCTTCCACCCTCGATTTATTTTACCTCTTAGCAAGTCTTAGGCATCAGAGCCAGTGAGTCTTTCTTCTCTCTTTGAGTTCTTTTTGTGCCCACTTTCTCATGAGTATTTTGAGACGTGTGTACATGTGTATAGTTTTATTATTTGTGCTCTTTTCCCAGCTACTTTTCTCTAAAGAAATAATTTCCTAATATTTCCCCACAACTTCTAATATTCGGCTCGCCTGACCACACAGTAGGATACCCAGGATTTGGGCATATCTTTGACACGCGTAGCATCGTTTGTTTATCATCACTCGGGTGATGTAGTTTACAGTAAAATAACAATAACAGTACAGTGCTTTGTAGTCTACGGAGCACTTACTGTGTTTTGTTTTGTTTCAGTTAGGAAGACTTAGTTTTAAATTCTCCTAATACCAAACATCTGGGGTTTTTAAAATATATTTTTTGTTTTATTTTATTTAAAATACTAATTATTCAAGTATAATTGCTACACAGTGCTTTTTAGTTTAAGGTGTACAATATAATGATTCAGCAGTTCTGTACATTGCTATGCTAGTGTTCATGCAGTAAGTGTGCTTTTAACCCCCTTCACCTATTTCACCCATCTCCCCTTTGGTAACCACCAGTTTGTTCACTGCAGTTAAGAGTCTGGGTTTTTTTTTGTGTCTCTTTTTTCTTTGTTTTGTTTCTTATGCCTAACTTTACACCCAGCAGAATGGCTAAAATAAAAAACACCAAGAAGTAAGTGTTGGCGAGGATGTGGAGATAAAGGAACCCTTATGCATTATTGGTGGGAATGCAAACTCATACAGACTCTGTGGAAAACAGTATGAGGTTCCTCAAAAAATTAAAAATAGAACTACCCTGTGATCTAGTAATTCCACTACCAGGTGTTTACTCACAGAAAATTAAAACAGTAACTTGAAAAGATATATGTATCCCTGTGTTTACTGCATTTACTTACAACAGCCAAGATATGAAACCATCCCAAGTGTGTCCATCCATAGATGCATGAATAAAGAAGATGTGGGACACACACACTCAAAGGAATGTTACTCAGCCATAAAAGAGGATGAGATCTTGCCATTTGCAACAACGTGGATAGATCTAGAGGGTATTATGCTAAGTGAAATAAGTCGGTTAGGGTCAACTGGGTGGCTCGGTCAGTTGAGAGTCTGACTCTTGATTTCAGCTCAGGTCATGATCACAGGTTGTGGGATCAAGCCCCACATTAGGTTCTATGCTGATTGTGGTGCCTGCTTGGGATTCTCTCTCCCTCTTTCTCTGTTCCTCTCCCCTGCTCACTCGTTCTCTCTCTCAAAAAATAAGAAAAGAGAAATAAATCGAAGACAAATACCATAAACTTTCACTCATACTGTTATTTTTTTTGATCCTCATAACTACCTTGTGAAGGAAGTAGGATGGAGGTGTTTTAGGCCTTATTTTATAGATGAGGGAGGCTTGTTTCAGGTATCACTCATAAGCCTCATAGGTTGCAGAGCTGGGACTTGAACCTGAGCTGTTTGCAGGGCATTAGCAGTGTAGAACTGTGGATTTGACGGCTCAGAGACCCTTGACCAATATTCTTTCAGAAGTTGGAGTTCATTCTTTGGAGAATCCTGTGCTGCTCTACCTAATGTCTGGGTGCTCTGCTAAAGAAATGATTCTTCTTTAAGGTTTTAACAGCTCCATAAGTTTGAATAAGACCTATTGTATATGGTTGTATTTCTCTCAAAAAGTCTATATCTACTGGTATGACTTATTTAAGATTATGCCCAGTAAATGGTGGAGTCAGATTTGAAAACCAGGCTCCTAGACCCCAGGTCCTTTGCCTCTGTGAGGGCTTGGTATGCCTATACTAACCTCCTTTCCTGAGGTTGAATGGCAGCATGTTTGAAGGACCAAAGTGTGAGATCTAGAGCCAGTCCTACCTGTGTCTAAATCCTAGAAATACATTTACCATATTTCATTGAATCTAAGATATCCTTAATTAGAAGATACATCACCATTTCAGAAATTTTAAAATGGTGATGGGGGGGAGTGCATTGTATAACCAGTAAATATAGCAATCTCTGAACATCAGGTTCTGTATCTGGAAAATGGAGATAGTAATAGTAGTACTTACCTCATGGGGATATGAAGAATGAATGAGGTCAGGACTCAGGGTGCCTGTCCCATATTAAGTGCCCCAAAAATGTAAACTTTTATTGCTTTGTTATATGACAGAATTCTTAGTGTGCAGGAGAAAAGATCTTTCAAGATTAAAAAAAAAGTATTGCTATCAGTACTGTTAGCATGCAGTCAAAGAGACATAGTGTCAGATGCCCAGTTCAAGTCCAGGCTCTAGTACTTTCTGAGTGATCAAGGGGAATTTATTAAACATCTTTCAGATTAGTGTCTTCATCTTTAAAATAGAAATAGTGCCTTGCAGAGTTATTTTGAGTGTTAGAGATAAAGTCCGTAGAGTCCGGAGTGGTGTCTCAAGTTATCAATTGCCTGGCAATAATCAAACAGTTGCCATGTGCTAAGATATAGACTAGAGAAAGACCGACATGATTGCAGCCCTCTAGCTTACAGAGTATAAAACAGATAACCTATGAATAATTAACAACAATTGTGATGAGTGCCACAATGTATAGAAATGCAAAATGATCAGAGAACATAAAACAGCTAGGCAATAAATAGCACATGCAGTTATAAAAACATCTAATTAAATGAAATAGTTGTGATGTTAGCATGGTGGCTTTGCTAGCAAATTATTTTATTATTTAAATGAGGTAACATATATAAAGCAGATTACTCAGTCCTGGCTCACGGTAACTGCCATCAGTAAATGTAGCTATCAGCATCATCTAACAGTAGTATCTCATAGCTGTGGTTTTCTCCAGGGGCAGTTCCGTTCCCCAGGAGACTTTGGGCAATGTCTGGAGACATTTGGATTGTCACAGATAGAGGGGGAGTGCTTCTGGAGTCTGTTGTGGAGCCAGGGACGCCACTAAACAGCCTGTACTGCACAAAGCGGCCCCCATGACTGACAAATACCTGGGCCAAGATGTCAGTAGTGCTGAGGTTGAGGAGCTCTGCTCTTTAGGTGTTCTCCTTACCATTTGTTTGGGATTCTGGCTTTAGTGGAATAAACCTTTATTTTAACTAGGTTGTAGGTAAGATCCTTGAGACCAGGGGCTTTCAAAGCTCTGCACAGTGGACAATTTGTTAATGATACTGATAGATAAATATGCACAGGAGAGCAACTAGAGGTTTCTCTTTATTTGGCTTTTGTGCATATAAATATAAATGGGCCAAAAGTGCCTATTTTCATAGTATAGCCCTATTTTAGGGTTTCATAAGGGCTAACATAAGGCCTTCTTGGCATTTTTAATTTTTCCTGAAGAGTATATTGTTTAGTGGTGTACTGTACCTACTGCTCACCCTTTCCATTGTTTGGGATAATTCTTAACTAGATATTTGAGATTCCAGTTGTGTAATCTGTGTCTTCAGAAGCCACATGTAGTACATAAAGTGAATGCTCAATAGATACTTGTTTAATCTCACAACTTATTATGTACTTCAGTTCTACTATGGGGCACATCGTTAAATATTGTAAACTGATGTTTTCCCAGATGGAAGTTATTCATGTACCACTTTCATAGTTTTTACTGTAACCATTTATTACCATATGTTATTGTGATAATTGTAGTCATATTTGTATGCCACCTGAACTGTTATTTACTTATTTATAAGTATTTTAAGTCACTCATTTTAAGCTTAATTAATTCATTAATTTGGATTTTATTTTTAAGTAATTTCTATACCTAACATGGGACTTGAACTCAACAACCCTGAGATCAAGAGTCTCATGCTCTACCAACTGAGTCAGTAAGGTGCCCCTAACTTAAATTTATTGAAAAGGGGGCGCCCGGGTGGCTTAGTCGGTTAAGCGTCCGACTTTCGCTCAGGTCATGATCTCACGGTTCGTGGGTTCGAGCCCCGCGTTGGGCTCTGTGCTGACTGCCAGCTCAGAGCCTGGAGCCTGTTTCAGAGTCTGTGTCTCCCTCTCTCTGCTTCTCCCTCATTCATGCTGTTTGTCTCTGTGTCTCGCAGAAAAATTTAAAAAACATTAAAAAAAATCAGCAGTCTACAGAAAGTAACTTAACCATTTAAAATAAATAAGTATATAAATCTAAGATGTATTTTGGAATCTTAGTGATTTTACATGTCTGTTATCTTGAAATAAAAAGATTCAAGATTTGCTGTTTGATCATCCTAGGAATTATTTCACCATTATTCATTAGTTATTCCCACTTGTGGTAAAAAGAAAGCCCAATAAGAAACAGGAAAATGATGGAATCACATAGTATTACATCATCTTTCAAGAAGAGTATATAAGCAATCTGAACATATATCCTTATAGTCTTTTTTAAAACTTTTCATTGAATGTAGTTACTAATTCAGAATTTAAAAGTTTTTTGCTCACACTGGCAATGGGAAGAAAATTGCCAGTATATTTGATATATTTAGATAAATGAGAAGATGAATGCAAATAGCATTCTAGACTAGCCCTGTCAGAAATATAATGCGATGTAATTTTACATTTTCTAATAGTTACATTAAAAAAATACAGGTGAGGTTAATTTTAATGATATATTTTATTTAACTCAGCATATCTAAAATAAAATTTTATTATGTAATTAGTACAAAATTATTAATGAGATACTTTATACCTATTTTTTATTTTAGAGCATGCGCGGGTCAGGTAGGGGGGCAGAGTTAGAGAGAAAGGATCTTCAGCACTCTCCACGCTCAGTACAGAGCCTGACTGAAATCAAGAGTTTGGATGCTCAGCTGACTGAGCCACCCAGGAACCCTGAGATATTTTATGTATTTTTTAACACTAAGTTCTCAAAATCTGATGTGTACTTTTCACTTAGGCAATCTCAGTTCAGACCTGCCACATTTCCATTTATCTTAATGGTTACCATATTGGATCACACAGCTCTAGATTTTAATGAAAATCATAGAAGAGGAATTTTAAACTGAATCTTCAGATGATAGATATATGTTCTCAAACTCAAAAATTGATGACAGAACGATGTATTTTTAAGGAGAAAGGAAATATATGTGATATTCTTATTCAGTAAGTCATTCAAGAGGAAGGACTTTGTCCCAAAATCTTTTATAATAAGAACCTGTGAATCATCTGATTTTCTTGAAAGAATATGGACAGTATTCTTCCATTTTCTGTGATATTTTGCCGCAGAATTTACTTTAAATTGTTCATAAGTGGATAAATGCTGAAGGGATACAAAGGTGTGTACAGAGGTGATTGGAAGGAAATAGATGATGTTGAAATGAAAACACTCACTAGATTTGTCATTTGAATTTTTCTTTATAAAGCTAAGACTGAAAATGTTTTACAATTATGGTACAAGGAAAATGGCTAAATTCTCTTCAACAAAATTATGAGCTGTCAAAAGTTTTTTTAAAAATAATTGCATTTCGATGGTATCATTATTCTGTAGATGTAGATGTTTTTGTAAGATAATTTTAAATTATAAAAAGGGACCATTGGACCCAAGTAGTAAATGATGATAACTACTTTTCCTGGTCTAATGAAGATTAATGAGAAAGTTTGCAAGAAAATTGAAGCGGGAGTAACTTTTCCATTATGATTCAGTGTTGTCTAATGTTGCTCAGGTATGTCACTGAATACCATCTCCCATTCCGCCTCAACTTATTTCAAGTACATCCTGGTCTTAGGAAACACTCTTATAAATTACTGTTAAAAGAATAAATGATTGGACTTGAACTTATCCTGGCAGACCGAACACACACATTAAATCTAGTTCCTTCCCCCAAACTCTGCTAAACCACAGTAAAAGGATTTTTAAAGAGAGATAAATCCACCAACAGGAGAGGAGACAACAACAGAGTCTTCAAAGCTGGAGAGGAGATGGTTGAGATCACTAACTTAGTAGATCCCAGAAGCAAATCTGAAGTTGGTAGTGGGACAGGCCCCCAGTACCTCTGGAACTGCGGATGAAAGGACAGGTACCAAAGTAAGAATGATGGCTGAGAGCTGTTTGAAAATTAGTGAGATCCCTAGATTGTCTACTGGTGCTGCTGCCTCCAGCAGTGAAGATTTGTCCTTTAGAGAGGGTAGAGCACCGGGCTCTCTGGGCTGGCAGAGTTGTGAGTGGACATGACAGCCACGCCTGTGGGTTCTGTATTATAGGATAGGGGTATACTTGCCTGCGTAAAGGCCCTCCAGACAAGGTACTGGAAAACTCTTCTCTGGGAACTCTGACTAATCCAAGAAGAAAAACAAAGTTACTGAGTCCGGGACTCACTTTAAAAAATCCATGCAGATCACCTCTTGTGAAGCCTGTTGTCAGTAATCTCTGTGTACTCAGTGCTTTTGGTCAGCTTTTTAGGAGGCCCCTTTCACAGTCATGAGCCAGGGATCACTAGATTTTTGAGCACAGTCTCTAAGGCAGAAGATAAAGACCAAAGAAGCAAAGGCAGAGCAAGTAGCTTGGAAGAAACTGTAAAAACAAAACACCAGAACCACAACAAACATCAAAATCCTCAAATAGGAGAGGATGTTACATCCTTGAAACAAAACTAGGATGCTAAAATAAAAAGGATCACTCAGATGATATAAAGGAGTTCTTGAAATTAAAAACATGATGGCAGAAATCATTTTAACTGTTGTTTTTAGTTCTTTTGGTAGTTATATCCATAACTATGAATGGTAATCTTACAGTATTATTTCTTGTCACTGTAGTATTATCTTGCTGTAGTAGTTTAATACACTTAAACTTCTGTATCTTCAGTTCTTGCTTTTCTTAACGTAGTTATATCATTTAAAAATTATATTATTTACCTTTGGCCTTCAAAAAGATATACTTAAATCTATATTTCTTTTTCTATCAAGTAGAAGTCAGTTTAACTTGTGAATTCTCTCTCTCCCTACCTATTCTTGCTCATAGATGTTTTATCATCTACAAATGAAGATAAGGTAGTTTAGTAAATAACTATGTAAAGCATAAAGTTTCAGTCTTTTTTTTCCTTTTTGCTGAGATTTATAATAAAAGTACTCTTAGCCATCGCACATCAGCAGAGTAGGTATCTGTATTAGGTTTCCAAGCTTTGCATTTTCAAGACTGTTGCAGAATGGCTACTCTTCAGAGGACAGGTCTGGATTTTTCTCTGCTAACTGCTCTAGTGGCTCAGCTTCCACTGCGTGGTCTTTCAGATGGTTTTGACTGACCAAAAAAGTGTTCTCTAGTCTGTTTGTAGGATGTGTGTATCTGTCTATCAATTTATTTGAAATAAAATCTCCTTGATTCTTTGGACTAATAAGGCTTTCTTGATAGTCTGAACTAATGTGCCTTCTTTCTTTCTTGATCTAGGCAGTTGACAAGTACTTCAAGCTTCCTCATGCTTCCAGTAAACCGCCTCGGATTTCAGGAAGCCTCGTGGACACTTCTTATAAGACATTAAGATTTGCTTTTAGAGCATCACTAAAAACTGCCATCTATCGAATAACTACTACATTTGGTGAACATCTGAAGTAAGTTTACCTGTTTTAATCCATGATAAGAATCTACTTTCAGGAGTTCCCATAAGAAACAGGTATGAGAATTATAAAGGTGCACGTGTTCAACATGTAACGTTTGTGATTCCTACTGAGAATTAACAGCCTTGATTTAGACTTTATATTTTAAAAATTGGGCCTATCATATAAGCTTTAGGGCCTTCTTTCAGATGGACAACAAAGAGGATAGAAAGTTAAAAAAGCAGCAAATGTAATTATGTATATATATATATATATTTTTTTTAATTGCCAAAACATCCTTCCCAGAGAAAAAAGGCAAAAAATGGATTACCTTTCCAGAAAAGCATATACAAAATAATTCTGACATTACATCTTGGTCAGCTAACTAAGACTTGGGGTGAGCAGAGTGTTCCATAAGTGAGTCCTTGGTGCTTTGTGAATCATACTGGAAAAACGATGACAGATCATGACACCTTTGGAAACAGAACCAGAAAGAAAACCACAAATGCCAGGCCTGTTTATATTTAGTTTCATTGATGTTTACTGCTTTCTTCTCATGAAATAATCCAGATCGGCAGGATAAGGGATGCTAGTTTATTAACTAAACTGTGTTTATCACAGTTATAAATGAACTTAAGAAGACACAAAAGATTGCTTTTTCTGTGTGCGGTCAATGAGTAGTTTAGAACTTCCGCATACTGACTGCTTTTAGAAAGAGTAGTGTATTTCCTTTTAATTCCACAATGCACGAGTAATAGCAGGTTTTTATGGGATGCTTAGCTCTGTGTGGCAATGTAAAGAGCAATAGATAATCTCTGTTTCAGACGCTTATTCACTTGTTTAAAAACAAACAAAACGAATTATGGAGTGCCTTCTAGATCTGTGCTCTCCAATATGTTAAGTCCATATTACTGTTTAAATTTAAGTTAACTAAAAATTCAGTTTGTCAGTAAAGCTGGTCACATTTTAAGTCCTCAGTAACTTAAAATGGCTAGTGGCTAGTGGCTACTGTAGTGGACATCTTAGGTCTAAAACATTTGTGTCATTGCAGAAAGTTTATCAAGACAGCACTGTTCTAGACAGTACACTTAGCACTTTAAATACATTGTTTCATTTCCTTCTCTCAAAGAGTCTATGAGGTATAGAGGTTATTATTATATAGATATGGAAACTGAGGCTCAAGGAGATTAAGGACTTGCCTAAAAGCACAGTCTAGTTGCTGTTAGAACATGAACCTGAAATCAGGTCTTTCTTACTCGTAAAATACCACCACTTCTCCCTGTGGTGAATAGACTGCCTCTGAGATGTGAACTGCCATGGAGGATGCTTGATGAATGTGGAGCATGAAATATGTGTATTCATGATAGAGCAGAAGCAGGGAGAAAGGAGGAAATAGAGAGTTTTAGGTAAGGAAGGGGGATGGATGACGGCTATAAAGAAAATTATGAGACTGAAATTCTGCCTTAGTTTCTTTTTTCTGAGCCATCTTTCATATACGATGAGGTCAGCAGAGACTGTTGTATGTCTAAGACCAAATGGTATGGTGGGAAAAAAGATTTGGAGTTAAAATGCCTGGATTTGTGTCCGGTTACATCATTGACTACCTGTGGTTATGTCAAGTTACCTAATGGTTTAACTTGCCCACGATTATGCAGAACCAGAATTCAGACTCCAGTCTTTCTGACCCTAGTGTTCTAACGGTGTCTACTCTTTACCAGGAGGCTGAGTTGTCTCCTCTAATCTCTGACCTTTGTGATACTGTTTGCCCTCCTGTGAAAAGGGTATGTTATCTGGCCTCACCAGCACCCGGAGGGAGTCCACATAGTAAAGTACTTGAAATGGTTCAGTTAGAGGCACCTGGTTTAAGCAAGCAGCGATATGTATTTATAAGGCGATTTGGGATGATTTGAAGCAGAATTATTGTAATAAGACTTCTTGGTCACTTTTACAAGTGGAAACTTTCTATAACCTGGATTTTTATCATTTAATAATACCATCTTCAGCAACTAGAAAACCAGAATTGTATTCAATTTTTGCCCAAAAGTTTGAAAGAAATTTTTATACTAATTATAGAATATATTTGCTCCACTTTTGTCAAGGTAATGTATAATTTTCATGGGGGGCGAGGGTAGGGAGAGAACTCGATTTCCCCATCCAAGACATAACTTATGTTCAAAGGGAAAACTAAATCTAAACCACCAAGCTGTTACCTTTGAAAACGATTAGTGGAGTCTATTGTGTTTTAACCAAACATTTTAGTTTAAAGGATTTTATATTAAAGGCAATTCAAATACTCCACAACTCAAAGATAATGTTGGAATCTGGTTTAAATAAAATAATAAAATCCAGAAAATCTACTGCAAGGCCTGGAACTCTGCACAGCAGGTTCCACAGCAGAGCAGGTTAAAATCGATGCTTTCACTTGTCAGTCTTAATTTGCTTTGGTCTCTTAGAAGGTAGAAGAATGCCGTTACTGAATGTGAGCCCTCCTCCTCATTAGATTAAGGAGGGTTTTCATCCAGCTTTCTCAGAAGTACTAAATAAGTGAGGATTTCTATTCGTTTTTAATTGTTTTGAAAAATATTGACTCTGTGCTCTGTGGTTCACTTAATATGCTTAATGTAAAATAAAGCTTATGCTTTGAATTTATGTTTCATTTAGTGCTGTGCAAGCATCTGCAGAACATCAGAAAAGACTTCAACAGTTCTTGGAGTTCAAAGAATAGCTCAGTAATATAAACTGTGTTCATTACACTGCTGATACAGCTACAGATGGGACAGTAAATGTTCAGCATTCTTGGATCAGAAGAAAATGGACTAATTAGATGCTTCCTTTGTCGTGGTGGTTGCTTTGAAAACTATACTTTAATGGGAGAAATCATGGAAAGAAATTCCTAACAGAATAACCGAAAACCCCCTTTTCTGTACCGATGTCTTTTTGTGTGTGTGGTATAATAAAATCTTTATTCAATTTTACAGAAGCCTCTATGGCACTAGAAATGTCTTTAGCTTCTATAGCTTAATAATGATAACTGGAAAATTTTTAGAATTTACTTTTGAGCGAAGTAGAACCAGTTCATAAGGTAAAATAGATTGACTTGATTTGGTCCTCCTGATTGTTGTGAGAGTTTAACTCTCTGTACACTCGAAATACATGAACTTTGTAAGACTAGTTTCTGCTTACTGATGAAAATGGTAACAGTGGAGAAAAATTCACAGAAAAATTATTGTTTAAAGGACATGTTTTGTTAATCTGGTAAGTTGTGTTTTTCTTTCCAGGGACAAATTAAATTTGCATGATTGTCCAAAGTCTCGATTTACAGATGCTAACTCTCTATAAAGGAATGTGGAAGAATTCAGTTCTTAAGTTACAAGATTAAACATTCACATTTGATTTTTGAAAGACGATTGACTGACAACTATAAATTTGTTTTGCATCATGCTAGTAAACAATAAGTGTACGGGTTTTTTCCCCACTAGTTTTCCTTTCTTTTTCTGGAACAAAACATTAAGTGGTTGCAGAGCTTTTTAAGTGAGAGAAAAAGTTTTGCAACAAAAACCAGGAAACTTTCCCTTTTTTCCCCTCCACCCTTCATCTTCATTAGATCAAATTATTTGGTGAAGCTCGTTTGGCCTCACAGAGGGAGCAGCCTTTTCTGTGTTAACTGGCTAATAAAAATATATTAGGAAAATCTTTACAACAAGAAACAACTTAGTCATCAAATAGCAAGTGAAACCAAAATGTCAGAGGGCTTACTGTACTTGGGAGTATATTGTATGTCCCCAAAATGAGCAAAGTAATTTTATAATTTATTAGATCAGCTTCTTGGGAGATGGAAGATTGGAAATCCCACTGGTAGGTATTCACTGGACTAGTGTTGGACTGAAATGCTCCCTTGTAATTCTTTTCCTATTATCTTTTCCCTCCACCCTCTCCCAGTTTTTTCTTTAAAGTCAGCACAGTATTGTATATGAATCTTTAATGTGGTATATATGTCTACCATTTGTCTGATTACTTGATGTATTATATCTTTATTCCTTTTATTTGTTGCCCCATCAGCCAGCACATGCCAAATTATAAATGAATCCTGCTGGCCTTCAGAGCGTCATTAGGAGACAGTTCCCTAGTTGTCAAGTGTTTGGAGTATTTAGGCTAATTGCCATTGCTTTATTTTTTCTTTCCGTTTTTTCATCTGAAGTGGAGTGATCTCTTTTTTGAATATGAAAATTAAATTTTGAATGTGGTAGTTCCTTGCAGATGTCCAGAAGAGTGTGGTGAGGTTGACCGAAGACTGTTGAGTTCCATGTTTTGGAGCCCTTGAGTCTTTTCTGTTGCACTCTGTGCTGTCTATCCCTGGCTGAGGCATTTTGGGAGAAAAAGACTCTTAACCTTCTGTTTCCCTTAAAGAATTGTGGCACTTCACCCACTGGATCCCTGAGACTGACAAAGAGATGGTTCCTGTAAGCTCTGAGTGACTTGGGTAAAGTATCTGGCCAGGTTTAGGTTTTTTCCATTTCCCATATGCTTTGGGAAAAAGTATATGTGGTGAATAATGTGAAAATTTCTGGAGAGGTGTTCATGCCTATTTTCTCTCAAGGGAATGTGCTGTGTACAAAATACAGGTCACATAATGTCTGCCTGGTAGAGGTCTGGAAAGAGCCACCCCAAATCTGGATTGTGTTTAGTAGATAAGAGAGGCAGTTCCTTTTCCCCATTATGTTGAGGTAGGCTGTTGCTCGGCCTACACACCATCTGTTGAGGTAGGGCATTGCTCGGCCACTTGCTGTTAAAGGGAGCTCCTTCTCCTGTGTACAAGGAGGAGGGTCTTAGAAAGGCCAACAAGAAACATTTCCTTTGATGAAGTCCTATCCTGTTTGTGAGCCCAGTGATGCTATATAACATTGGCCTGAAAATTAGAGTGTTCTTTAAAAGCTTTTCTCTGACGGTCAGTAAAAACTGGTTCTTTTCAGCTCTTGTAATGTTTGCTTCACCTTATGGGAGGAGTAAGTACACGTAGCTTCTTTCCTGGGGAACTGAGAAACTGTCCTAGAATGAACCATGTACAGTTGAGTAGATGTGGGTAAGCAACAATTTGTTATTTTGCTGGATTTGTTCCTTGATAGTTGTTTTGTGTGTCTTCCTGTAAATATGATAATCTGTTTATATCCTTTTGTATATTGCTGATACTGAATTGGGTAGAAAAATAAATTGACAGTTTTTCTAAATGGGACTATTAATTAAAATATGTGTATCCTCAAAGTCAATTATTTAATGTCTGGTGTGTGTGGGTGTGTGTGTGTGTGTGTGTGTGTGTGTTCCTTTAGCTATTTCAGCCAAGCCTCAGTTACTTGCAAAACTTGAAAAGGTTTAACTTCTTGATAAATTAGTGATTGCCTGTAACTGAACTACTTTGGTGGGTGATTTTTGTTCAGTGATAACTAAGGAACCTGAATTCTGAAGGTCTCTTTCTTCCTTGTCTTGGCTGCCTTTCTTCTAGTACTGAACAAATGATGTAGGTGCTGAAAGCCATCTCTTAATAGAAGTTTCTTTTCTTGCCAGAATAGTGTTTCTGAATGGATCATATTCCCCTCGGCTCACAGTTAGTCTGTCAATTTTTCTTAAATGAGTCTCAGTCTGAACTTCGTCTCAAGGTTATTGAGGTACTACACGAAGGCCCTCAACTCCCTCTTTTGCTCTCCCAACCCATAGTTTCCTTTCTTTAAAACCAAAAAGCTTAAAAGAAAAGATGGCTTTAATTTCTCAGTTAATAATCCAGGTATTATTAGCAAGCTGCTGACCACCATTTTCAAATAAATAAAATTGTTCTTGTTTTAAGGCGGATAAGACAAGGTAGGACAAGCACATATCCCCTGTAGTTCTCAGTCATGGTCTTAGCTATCTGGGCAGTTGCTGTAATCATGTGCAAGTTGATCCAGAGCTAGCTAATCATTCAAAAACATTCACTGAGTGTCTGTTACAGCCCACCTATTGGAAACAAATTGAACTGTGAACAAGACAGTTCTTGCTTGCCCTTGAGAAGTTCATTATGAGATTTATTTATTTATTTTTGTTTATTTATTATTGAGACAGAAACAGCATGAGTTGGGGAGGGAGCTGTCAGCACAGAGCCTGATGCAGGGCTCAAACCCACAAATTGTGAGATCATGACCTGAGCCAAAGTTGGACGCTTAACCGACTGAGCCACCCTGGCGCCTTGAGAAGTTTATAATCTAATGCAGTGGCATTTGAAACTTGGAATCAGAAACATGAGACTCTCAGGAAGTGCTTATGAGAGGTGTAGAGTCCAAACTCCACTTTAGTACAGACTATGCTTCTGGACTGGTTCCAAGAGATGTAGTTCGTAACAAATTCTAAGCAGTGGTCTGAGAATCACACTGTGAGAAGGGTTTATTTTAGATCAGAAGTTCTCAAACTTAGCATACATCAGAATCCCTTGGAAAGCTTGTTAGTTAAGACAGATGGCTGGGCCCCACCTCCAAGGTTTCTGATTCAGTAGTTGGGGTGGGGCTCAAGAGTTTGTATTTCTAGCAAGTGTCAGGTGGTGCCGATGCTGCTAGTTAGGACCCCATTTTGAGAAGCATAGCTCTAGTGGATTGTCTACTCAATGGTGCTCTCGGATGAGTGAGTGAAGCATGTGAACTCTCATTTGCTGTAAGGCCGACTTCTGATTCACTTATCTGAAAGCTTGAAGAATATGGTTAGACCCCATAGGCTGAAGATGAGGTGTTCATATACATACCTTGACATTACAGCAGGTGATGGGACATGAATTGCCCTTCCATGCCATTATGCACTCATGCCCATGTTCCCTTTGCCTGGGTTTGTGCCTTGGCATAATTCCCTTTCTTCAGGATGAGCTTAGCCTTTCTACATGCTCCCACATAGAATTGGATGTGCTTTCTCAGTGCTTTGTCATTCCCTCTTTGTACTTATCACATTGATTTGTAATTTAACTGATTATAGTATGTATCCCCTTTCAGACCAGGAGCTCCCTCTCTTTCCAGGATTCCAGTTACACTTTCTCAATATACCATCTGTGTCTTAACTCGTCTTCTCTATTTCAATATTTTTGACTTTGTATACTTTATTTTGAATAGTTTCTACTGACCTATCATTTTCTTCCACTAAGTCTAATCAGTCAAAGTTATCTGTGAACCCACGTAGACTATATGCTCCACTAACTGTGGCTTCCCAATAAATAAGTGAAAGTTAGTAGTCCTTTCTAGGGTTTCTTGAGTTTTCATCTTTAGTAGAGCTTTGTCTATAAGTCTGAAATCTAGAGCGCTTTTTAATTCATAACTTTTGTGACAATATTTATTTGGCAGCAAAACCTGACCTGATGTTAGGCTCTTTGTAGACTTACTTTATTCCACGTAGTTTGACTCTGCTTACATTTGCTGTATGTTTGCTAATGAGGTGCTGTCCCAGACCTCATGAGAGTGTTATGTAATATACATCATGATTACCAATCTAACACCTGAAAAACTGTATTCTGAAACATCTGGCCTTGGGCATTTAAGACAAGGTGTTGTAGCATTTTTGTAAAATGCTGTTAATTTTTCCACTCACTCGGTCAGCATTCACTCATTGCCTACTGTATACTGGACTTTGTGATAGGCACTGATCTTACAAGGTTATAGACCTTGTCCTCAAAGGGTTCTCCATCCTGTGTGGGAGAAGTAAATGGAGGCAACAATGTTTCCACAGAACCTTTTTCTTATTTATTTACAAAATTGATGTGTCCTGGGGCACCTGGGGGGCTCAGTCAGTTGAGCCTCTGACTTCGGCTCAGGTCATAATCTCATGGTTCATGAGTTTGAGCCCTGCCTCAGGCTCTGTGCTGTCAGCGCAGAGCCTACTTCAAATCCTCTGTTTCCTCCCCCTGCCCCCCCCCCGCCCTTTCCCTGCTCACTCTCTCTCAGAAATAAACATTAAAAACAAAAAACAAAAAAAAGCCAAAATTGATCTGTCTTGCTATTGCTGTTCGTTGATTGAGCATCTATTCTGTTCCTAGCCTACTTCAAGCAATAGCTGTTAATTGCATTTGTGCCCACTTCCTTTACGGACCCTTCCAGCACTAAATACAGCATTTCCTTAGGTATCCTGGTGCTAGCTCGCTTTGTCACTTGGATTATTTTGCAGGAGCTGTGTGGCTCTGCCTTGCCCTCAACATCTCATGTTCTCTCTGCACACACATATCTTATCAGATTCTGTTGAGTGTGCCTTGCAAGTGATCCTGGTGGTAAAGCAGTTGTGGAAGACCTATGGGATGTTCCCTGGCAGGTAAACATTAGAAGGTAACCTCTAAATCACAGACCTTTACCTTGACAGTCTTTTAAAGATACGTTGACTCTTAATTGACTCAGCCTATTTGTTTCTCAGCT